CAAATGCATGCCAATCAATTATTATTATTATTGATTTTTTTTAGTACGATGAAATTGATAAATGCCTCGAACAATATGATGGCGAACGAGCTTATCACCTCATTAAAAGAGTTTAATTATTCCTATGCAAAAAAATTATTCAATTTGAAATTTTAATTCTATATGATACATTATGAAAGCATAAAATTTATTGCTAGGGAAGTGAAAGAAAATATTCAAAATCAATCGGCCTATTTTACAGATTTTCCAAATAGGGTTAATAATTAATCAAATACAGTTAAAATAAGACTTAAAATAGTCTTGGTAGATAATTGAATGAAAAGGTCATTGATTGCAGATGAAATCTGAAGATAAGAGAGAGAATGCTGAATTAGAATATCGCCTTGCGCATGCATGCTATATCCTTTCAAACTTTTGCCTCTCCAAGGAGAATGAGCGTTATCATTTGCTTGAAGAAGGTCAATTCATATTTTTATGATTTTTTGAAATGAAACTTAACATCACTCTCTATTAACTTTACTTTACTTATCAGCTGTCTACATGAAATTACGTGTAGTGTGTGATCATTCAATATAATGCATCTTTCGATGATTTACATGAAAAAGTTCGAATTATTGTTAAGCATATCTGTCGTGTAAATCGGCATATATACCGGAATCGAAGAATGCTGAGATATTAAAATGGTCGGCAATTATAACCGGTACACTTGCTGAACTTAATGATTTGAGCGATTTTGAGCGAATGACTTATGTGAGGGAATTTAAGGTAATTACATATTGAAATCAATGGCGGAAAGAAAAAGACAAGTACTCGTAAATAATTTATAAAATTAAGATTTTATAATAGTATTCAGTAAATTGTAATTAGCTAAAAGTGAAATTTTTTCATTTAAATTTTCTTCTTTCTCTTTTTATTTAAATTTTTTAAAATGATAAAAATTAATAGACTTTCAGAAATTTCTGGATGAAGCACTGACTGGCCCACCGGATTCATCAGTTTACCATATGCATGGACGTTTTTGCTATCGCGTGAGGCATTCATTCTTTTATTGAAAATTTCTTTTGTGTATATAAATTGGATGTCTTAGTACCAAACATTCCGGATTTATATGAATTATTTCTGTTGATTTCGAATTTCGGAATTTATTTTTCACTTTCAACACACCAATCAACAGAAAAATATTGCCCAATTAACGGATGCTATTTGTTTCTTTTTCTTGTATAAATAGAAATTAGATCATAATTTAATTCTATTATGGTAATACATGCAGTAATTCAGCTACAATTCACAAAAGTTTCCATCCGGAAGTTCTGTCCGGAAAATTTGCTAAATAGGATTTTTTTCTTTTAGATGGCAACATTGTCGGAGAAGGAAAAAGAATTTATAATAGCTGCGTTTGATTCACTACCAATATGTACCATTGATGAGGCCCTTAATAATTTCCATAAAGTTTGTTGAATGCTAAATTATTCATTGCATTCTAAAATCGATTAGCAGTTCAAACGATTTTGAATTTAATAAAATAATTAAGCGATTTTATTTATGTTTTTGTTTCAGATTTGGTCTTATATGATAATATAAAAATATGATAATTTCACAGATAAAAATAATTTTGAAACAAATATATAATTTAGGCAGAGAAATTGACTTCGGGACATATTGACAATCTTATACATCTTGGCAAATGTTATATCGCCAAAGGTTATTTACTTCTGATTCAATTCCCATTTATTTGTTCAACTTCATGCTAAATTTATTCGTTGAAATCATTTTCAAATAAATTTTAGCAGTCTATTTCATACCTGTTGAATATATGAAAGCAAGAAATGTATGCAAGCTAAATTTTCTTGACATTTTTGATAAAATTAATATTAATGATACTGAAAAATAAAAATGGAAGATGTAGGGAATTATTCCGAAGCACAAAAGTACTTGGAGCCCATACTTAAAATAACGCCCACTGATGAAATAGATCAAGCGCTGATCGCTGAAGCACACGAACTTTTAGCCGATATTGAGGAAAGCGATATTCAGGTTATCAATCGTTCCTTTTTATGAATAGTTGAACAAAATGAATGGAATTTAATAAATTTGTAATGTTTCTTTAAGCCCTATAAATCGGAACAATTTGATATGCTAATTTTATTATTATGAATTATAATATTGCAAAGAGTACGACGAAATCCTAACATTTCTCTAGTTATTCAAATAGAAGTGTGAAAAATAAATTTGTGATTTGACGTATCTATTATCGAAAGATATTCAGAATGAGAATCAGAAAAATGAGGAGAACGAAAATTTAGACGAGGTGAATACTGACGAAACAGAAATTAGTACCGCAACAAACGGCCATTCTGAGGAAGAACCGGATGTTATCGATTAAAAATTTACGCAACGGAAAATAAACTAAAGAGATAAAGAATTGATTTTTTATTGAAATTGCAAATGAAAATTTTTTATAATTATCTTTTGGAGAAATTTCACTAAATATATTAAAATTATTTTCCTCTAGCTTACATTATAATTTTGAAAGCGAATTTCTCTTAAAATTTTCTAAACAATAATTTATCTTTTAAAATAATGTTATCTCAATCAGAGGATAGATTAAATATGAAATAGTTTGATAGCTATACTGTATTACAGTTCAGTGTAAAATATCGTTAATAGTAAATTTGATCTATTCAAGTGATAAGTCGAAATACTGGTTTAATTTACGATTCGGAATCATTTTTCGGAATCATTTTTTATTTGATGAAATAATCAAAAATTACAAAAAAAAGTATTCTGAGAATGAGACGGATATATTTATCATTTAATTATAATTGGCTTTCTGATATTGCAGATATTTCAAATGAATGATAATTTCAAGAATTTTATTTCAATTATTTAAAGGGTTTAAACAATTTCAAGAATTTTAACGCTTCGAAACGATTTAAACAACTAAAACCTTCTTGTGAATGAATGAAAACCATTCATCTAAGCTGACGTTATTAGCGTTGAAGTGATAATATCAAGTGATAAGCCAAATATAATGTCAAGTGATAAGCCGAAATATTGGTTTAATTTTGCAATTTAATAGAAATTAAAAATTTTTAGCGCTAATGGATTCGATTAATTCTAAAAAAATTCGTTTGATAGTTATCTTTTATTTTTCATAATTTTCTTACTTTTGCAATATATCATAACATATTCCTCGTCAGCTAAATATGAGCTACGTACTCCTAATTAATGTAAACATATAAATAACTATGGATACATACTCTATAGCTATTATAATTGATATTAATCGGATATTGAAATACTGAATAACTATTTGAAATACCTATTTCAATTTAATCGAAATACTACAAATAGTGGGAGGCAAAAATCTAATTGGAAATATAATAAATAATTCTTCTCAAAGAAAAGTACAAAGTTGGATGTTAAAACAATTATTCCTAATAAGAATCAATCGATTCATATCCAAAATTATTATGAATTTAAAATCTTTTAACAAGTTGCTTTAAACTAAAAAACAACCGTAACCAATATTTGTATTTATAAGAAAAGCAAAGAAAGTTAATGATTTATAATTATATTATCAAACTGAATACGGTTACAATAACTTTCTCAAAATAACTTTTATAATTAAATACTACAAGAACATCAATGGTATGATATTACTACTCATCACTATAATTATTCATATAAAAAATAATTGCTTAATATTTTACTTTCAGATTGGCAGTATCTTTTTATAGAGGCTATCATTGCCATGCTGTATGTGACAAAAATAAATTTCGTTGATAATGATAGTTCCACAAAACATCACAACTTCTCATGCAACAAACAATCAACAAATTATTCAAAATTCTTTAAATTTGTAATAGAGAATAGATTTCTATTGAGATGGAAAACATTATGGAAACTTTTGCTATTTCATTAAAATGAGATTAAAAAAATTGCAAATTAGATAAAAGTCTCTTAAACAGTGATAATAAAGACGGATAGATTAGATAAATGCAAATTGATGAAATAATAGCATAAATGGACTATTATTTAACCTATAATTAATAATAATAATTAATAATAATAACCATGATATCGATAATAATAGCCATAATAATTGATGATAATAATATTAATTAATAGTAATAATTAATAATAATATTCATAATTATAATTAATAGTATTAATAAAAAATAATAATCAATAATATTAATATAATGACATTAATTATTAATAATAACAATTAGCAATAATAATAATAAACAATAATCATTGTTGTAAAACAAAATATTCTGTAAGCATAAAATTTACTTTCTCTTCAATATGTTTCACATAATCATAGACTTTTATTATCTCTTTCATCGCATTCACTTCGTAATCATATATTTTTTCACACATAGACAGACGGTGGAAAGAATGGATATATCATTCCATTTCAACAAAGTTGTAGCATTCATCAACGAAGATCGAAAAAGTTGCTGTCTGAATTGTTGCATACATCGTATTCCAATGTCTTTTCAATCTTGCAAGTTTTAAAAAATAACTTAGCTTCTTTAGGAAATGTTATTATAATGAAATTTAAAGCAAATTATTTAAGCTCTCCTCAATAAAATTTATTCTATCTTTAATCATATTAATTAAACAACGAAAAATTAAATATATTTTAGGTAAAAGTTATTAATATGAAATAATAATTCAAAATTTATACTAACACTTACAAAAAATTGCAACAAAATATTATTATTTAATTTTGCTTTATCCCTATTAATTTCATTTTTGCTATTCAATTTTCTAACTATTCCAAGAATGCCTTGTAATATAAAGATGAGAAAACGAAAGAAAAAGATTTTCAATTAATTACGATAGGTAAATTCTATTGCATAGATTAAATCGATTAAGTAAGTAAATGCATTTGACATATTTGGATACATTGATAGTTGGCGATAATTATCAAAAGAATATAAATATTGATTATTTGTCACTCTTTAGTTTTGAAACAAATTCGTAAAAAATTTTGGAATTTGTTATAACTTTGAAAATTAATTAATTATTTTAATTTATCATTAAGAATACTCAATTTTAATATCCAATTTTCGTCAATTTTTTGGTAATTTTTAACAATTTTTCATTATATTTTTTGTTTGATTACTATTTTTTTTAATTTTTCGCTTTTTTTTAATATTTTGAAATAAAATTTTGTTTTTAAGTTTTAGAATAATTTATTTTAATTTGCACCTTATTTACCTTATGATAAGCAATTAATTTCTTGAAAAATAATATCTTGCCAAAGTAGAGAAAATATGAGAAATAGCAAAAAGTAAAATATCGATCGAATTTTTCGGGACTTATCAAATTCACCGGCAATGAAATTTTTAATTTTCGTTTAACTGTTATTTATATTTATACTTTGGTTTGTTATCACTTTTGTGATAATAACACTTCTCAGATATGTTTTTATCATTCACAAGAAGGTTTGACATCCTAAATTACTTCGAAGCATTAAAATTTCTAGAATAGAGAAAGAATTATCAATTCTTATCATTCATTTGAAATTTCAGATAAGTCAGTCTTTTCGTTATTTAAATTTTTATACTTTAATTTATGCATATGATAATATAATCAAAATATTTTGCAACTGTTCAAATTTATGTTACAAATTAAGTTAGAAGAATAATTTATTTTACTTTTTTTAACTTGAACAAATAACAAACGAAAATTGTAATGCAATAAATTTAAACTGATATAGTAATGATAAAAGCATTCCCATAAAATATTTATCATTTGCAAAATTGTTGTTTTAGGGATGATGAAATTGTTTGAATTAAAAAATTAATTTTTGATTTGAAAATGAATCATTCATTGATTTTATCATTCTTTCCATTCTTTATCTTTTTAATGAAGAAAAAATTTTAACGAATAAATTTTGCATACTTTCATTTCATTTACTTTCAATCAGTTTTCGATTAATTTATCCTTTTAATCAATTTATTGGTTTGTTCTTAAGTGACAGTAATTTTTGATATTTTACTAATTGTTGTTCATTGTGTTAAATATTTAATTGTTTTAGTATTATTTCCAATTGCATTTTAATTTTAATTTTTATACACAAATGCCAGCTACTTGTTCATTAAGCTAAATTAAATTGCAACCTAATCTTTTGAAGGGCAATTGTGATAAGTAGTTGTTAATTATATGAATATTAATTAAGCCGAACATATTTGTGGGATTTTTAAACATATAAAAATGGATGGGTTGAAATTTTTTTTATTGTTTAAAAAACTCATGCACGCAAAATTACACCAAGATGATGTTAATTTGCGCACATTTCGTGATCCTACCTATTTTTTTTACTTTTTTACTCAAAAGTTTCAGGTTAAAATCATAGGTTAGCGTTGTTTGTGAAGATAAAGGTTGGCAATTAAGTTGTGCCAACAAGGTGAACAAAGGTATGGAAAGGAGGTACACATTTGATATGATAGATATGACAGTTGTAAGTTGACAGCTGATAAGTTCGCTTGAAAGAGAGAAATTATTTCATAGTAGGCTTCAAAAAAAATGATATATTATTTCAAAACTATCACTGATTGCATTAATGCTTCTTTAGAATATATATAAAGAAATAAAAATAAACAATTGAAAATAATTGTGAATATAGTTTTATTGCAAATCATTTATAGCGATTTTATATAACTATAATTGGTGATACTCTCATTTCCTGTAACGATTTTATATCATTCATTCAATGATACATCAAGGATAAGTGTTAATTTCCCATATAATATGAATTTTGCTATATTACATTACTAAATTTCGCAACAGTTTTTCAATAATTCCAAAGAAAATCGGTGATGCTCACATTATCCGACAATGTCGGAAATGAGTCGTTGTATTTGATTAATCACTTTTCTATTGCTAATATTAAGAATTCATTGCGAAATATTTGTGAAATGCAAATTAGGATTAAAGTATTTGTAAATTAATCATCATCGATACAAGATAGAATTAGAGAAAGCAAATAAATTATTTTTTAAATTAATATATAGAAAAATTAAATACAAAGCAAATAATACTTCTTAATAATTAGTCATTAATTGAGCAAAATTTAATATAAAAACATAACTTATGTTTTTTTTTCTACTTTGCGCGCGCATGCATGCATGCATTCATAAAATAGATAAGAAATGATAAAGCAATTTAAATCAATATATATGCATCAAATGATCTTAGAGAAATCGTTACAAAAAATTTTCTGCTTGGGTCATCAAATATCACAATTGTGCAAAAGAGCACATAAATGACCACTTAAACATGAACTCTAATCCTTTTCTATCCCATCAAACATAACAAACAAAATTGAGCAGATAGCAGTAGGATAGAAAATGTTAATTAAATATCAGCTTGTAGACGATAATAGAAAGGTGAAATTGTGATTTAATTTTCAACATTTTCTCTAAACATTTATTATTTTAAATAAATGGAAATTACAGTAATCAAACCGTACGAAGGTAAAAAAGGAAAAAAAGAAAAATCAAAGAAATCAAATTATTTCATTCCTATTGGCATATAATAATTATTACTAAAGCAATCGTTGTGACATTTAATGACAATTAATTTTTAATTTCATTACAGCACAACAATTGGATGAATCTGAAGAAAGCAAATGATGTTACAAATGCTTCCAGCTGTCAGTAATGGTTTAATTTTTTTTCCCATGTCAGGAAAAGATGAAGAAAAAATTGACGAATTGATCTTATTTTTACGCCAAATGGAAAGAAATGTAACTCATTATTTCAACAATATCGTTTAATAATTTTCTGGTAATGATAAGATAACTAAAAACTAAGATAGTAATAATTGTTAAGATACAATTGGAAAATTAGTTCATCGTTATTCTTAATCAGTACCGTAATTGAATAATTTATAATAATTAATATAATAATAACTTGTAACTGATAATTGATTTTTTTGTAAATTTGCATATGCAATTGAAAAATCTTTTGTTGCAGTTGTTTGACAGCTAACAATATGTTTGACTTTGTATTTAGCATAGTACAAACTTTGAATTTTACTAATTTTGAATTGAGATAACAAAATTTTAAGTATTCGAATATGACTAAGAAAAATGTACCAATTTATACTTATGCGTACTAAATGTTACAATGTCTGTTAATTGATTCATTTATTTTTATGTATTATTGAGATAACAGACTACTCGATTCCATGATTATCTTCTATTCTTATAAATTTATCAATAAACATTTTTGCTAATAGCTGATAAAGCTTATAGAATGTATTTGAAGATACGTACCGAAATTGTAAACAATATTGTAAACAATGTAGCATATGGTTTAGTTTACCATAAATATGTGGGATGCTTATTTAGTCAAATATCAGAAAAATTGTTTTATATTCTCCTTGTCATTTTCTTTTCTCTTTTTTGTTTAAAAATTAACTAACTGAAATAATTAACAATCGAATATTAATAAATATTTTTATTTATGCCTACTTCTTTACAATCATTAATTTATTTCTGAAAAATCGACCAATGTGACATTTGGAGTTTTTTTACGAAATTATTTTATAGTTCCTATACGAAAGAATTGTTTACATATAGAATAGTTTTTTAAAAATAATTTTAAGATATTATTTGTATTTAAATATTAAAAAAAATGTCAAAAAACTCTTTGAATTAACACAATCTGTCATAACACTGTACTTTAATTTCAACATAATTGAAATTTCAAATAGTTACTGAAAATGAATTGCACGATAACTGTCTCTGAGATAAAATAGAAGAAAATTAGAAAGAATGGTGATGATATTCGGGTAAAGAAGTGAATTTTGAAAAATTGAAAATTCCTAAAATTACTAGCAAAGAAAAACCCAATTTATTGTGAAAGATGAAAAGAGATAGAGTGAATGGAATATCGCAGTATTCTCTTTTATCCCAACATCAATAATTATTAGCATTTGAATTTTCTCTTTTTCAAAAAAAGCAGAGGGAAAAGAGAAGTAAAAAATATATACATATATTATAAAGGTAATCTCATAATCCAAGGATTACTCACAAGAAACATCAGAACAGGTGCTATTGTCTTGAATGACCGAATAACCATTCAAAACATTACCGAATACCTTCTCTTGCATAACTATATAAGTTTTATTTTTATATTAGAATTTTATAATTAAAAAAAAAATCACACAATCTTTAAAGAATTATCACTTCTTTTTTCTGCAAGAAAAGATATCAAAATTTGCTGAACACTTAGCAAATATCTGCTTTCCATTGTCCTACATTGTTGAATAATCTAAAACAAATCTATTGCAATAATTGCATAGTTAATAAATAAGAAATAATTAATGCAATGGCGATTTGACCTTTACGCAACAGTAATGATATATTAGAAATTGTGTAGCTATTAAAAAAAATTCTCACTCAAATAAAAAATTACTCAAAAATTTTGATGAATAGAATGAATTTTTAGACGATCAAATGTATCAGATTACTCAAGTAGTATATATTTGATATGATATGATATGATATAAATGCGGTATTTTCTTGTTATCAAAAAATGGCCAATGCATTCTAACTGTAAACTATAATCAAATCATTCCGCTTAATTTAAATTGATTGAAACAATTCAAGTAATTTAAAAGAAATTAAAATTTAGAATAATTGCCTCTAAAATGTAATCTGTTTGTATGCTAGAAGGTTATTATAAAATTGCGATGAGAAGGTTAGGATAGAATGAAAGGTTGAAGAGGTGGTAGTTGGCTATCACTTGTAAGTGGTCAGAGATCAGGTCATCATTAATCGGTGCTTTTGTTACAAAGTGGGAGATCTAAGCTATTCCTTTTGGCTTCACTGAAGATAACCTGTTGCATTTGGTTCGATGGAATGCTACACATTTTCATTATTTTCAGTCGATCTCATTCATCCACAATTTCATTCGCAGCTACCATTTGCTACTACAACTTTCCCCTTTTTTCCTTTCTCTCTTTCTCTCTCTCTCTCTCTCTCTCTCTCTCTTATTCATCTTTTTAATTTAATTTATAGCCATGAATTGTTTTTTGCAATCATTAAATATTTATCCTATTTATAGCTTATCACTCGGACTGATATCCATAGTATTCTCATTTTATCTTTTTCGGATAAGCCATTAACGTATAAAAAAGATATGCAAATAATATCATTGTATTATTAATATCTCTTAAATGTTCGCAATATTGTTCAATTAACTAATTTTTGAAATTTATCAGTATCATTACTAATTTCGACATAAGATTAACATTGATTATTTATCATTTCTCATTTATCTTTTTCTATATTTGCTTCTTTTCTGTAAAATTTTACTATTCGTGAATAATTCACCGCCATATATGACTTTAAAAAATTGAAAAATACGGATTTAATTGAAACATATTGATAAAGATTTAAACTGAATTGCATATCAGTAAGGTGCTCCGAAACATCAAACAATCTTATCAGTGGATTTGTTCTCTTTTGGTCACATAAATTGTTATCAATTGACGTATTTTCTTTACTTTTTTAGGATTTCTAATAATAATGATAATTTAATTGATTTTGCTAGAGAATTGTAAGCTTAGAAACATTATCAGCATAGCATTTTAAACTTATCAGCAATGATTTATTCTATCATTTCCCATATATATTTGTTTATTTCTGATGAAAGAATTTATTGTCGTCGTGATTAGAGCTTGCCTTTGTTCTAAACTTCTACAGCACCCAATTAATTTAATTGAAAGATTATTTCTTGTCCTCAAAACTGTCGTAACACAGTAAAACTTCAATCTTTTTGTTCATTCTTATCATAATTATTCTAATTGTTTATTCCATTTTTTTATTTCATATATAAATTTTTGTCATTTTGAATATTATTAACTTAAAAGTCTTAAAAAATTGATAATGTTTAAAAATTAAACATTTCTATAATTGCTATAAAAAAGAATGATATAATGACGGGTTGTATAGATTGATATTAGAGTTAAAACTTATCAATTATCAACTTTAGGAGGATAATAATTAAATGTTGATATTAATGGATATCATTTTGTAGTAACTAAACTATGCATATTTAAATATGTTTTCTTACAATATTAGTTAAACTATTAGACAGTTGAAATGTCTATTAGTTTCATCAATGAATATTATTAGTATCATCGGATGTAAAAAAAACTTAAACAAGGAGATTGTAGTTTTTAACAAACGGATGCCATCAGTTTTAAAATTTGAAACGATGGCTCTTTTGCTTTGATAGTGCCAAACTCTTTTAAACAATTAATCTTCGCACTTTCTCCGACTGTTAAGCTTTTTTTCAACAATTTTTCTTCATTTCTTTCAACTTTTTACAATTCACTGTCCTATCGATTTCTTTGCTCAATTCACTAAAATAATGAATTTAGTGATTTAAATTTAAAACATTTGAATAAGATATAATCTCCCGGGAAGAGAAAATTCCCCAATTAATTCTTTCCAATAATATTATCAATGTCTGAAATAGAATTTATTGCATATTTGCTAAATTAAAATATTGGTATATTTTGATTAACATTACGTTTTTCTGATTTCATAACTCTAACCCAACCGATTTATGATCATTATCGATGAGCTAACCAAATATGTCCTACTATCCATTTTTGTTTCTCATCTATCACATTTGCGATCATTCCTGATTGCCAGTTTACCGATTATCAAAATATTAACATTAACCGGTTAATCAAAGCATTATCTTTTATATCAGTGATTAGAGTTTCTTTTTATTGGATAAATTATTTTTTAAACGAGCAATTCATCATTGTTAATTGAAATAAAGAGATTTTACTGATATTTTTGAACGAATATTGCAGGCAAAAAAAACAAATTAGGAAAGAAAATGCGGCTGCTATATTGTTTAGCAGCCGTTATTTGCTGCATTCCGGTAATGATTCAGGCATGGAATATTTTCACATTTTTCTCTACAAAACAGGTCTTTACTATATTTCATACTTACTTTTTTTTCATGATCATAACTCGGATCTTAATACTTTAAAAATTAAAAAATAAAATTATAATTATTGATCCAACTAAATTCTAATTCCTTTAAATTTACATTAATTTGTTGCTTGTAAAATAATCATTCCAATATTTCTTGCAAACGAAATTTTTGCGTTTTTCACGAATTTAAGAAAGGCCTTATTTTTCATATATTTTTATAAAAATATTTTATAAAAATATATGAAAAATAAGGCCTTTTTTGTTATTAATACGATCTTTAATATAATTGTAAAATCATTTCTCTTTTTTACGATTAATTCGTTAATTAAAATTAAAAAAATGATAGCTTAGAATAATAAAATTATGAAGTAATGATGGATGGATAAGGGTTTTCTGGAAGATTTCAAAAAGTCATGTAACAATTAATTAATTAAAACTGTTTTACTGTATTGTTTTTCTACTAACTTAACTTTCATATTCGTTTCAGGAAAAAAATCAAATAAGTTTATATCCGGGCTCACCATTGGAAACTGATCCATCACTGCTTAGGAGTAGACGGCAAGCTTATCAAGTGTATCAGGGAAGTGATACATCAATTACGATGGATAAAACAGGACGTGTTGAAAGTGGACCATGGGGTCCTTGGACACTTGAGAAACAATGCTCTAAAACATGCGGTGGTGGAGTACAAATGGAGCGAAGAACTTGCAAGTATGATACTTTTCTTGTGATATGTATCTGTATTGAATATGATGCTAAAAAGTAAGAAAATTATTATATTAAATACCAACAAGAAATCATTGATATGTTTTAGTGGTGAATGCACCGGACCATCAATACGCTATATATCTTGTAATATCGAAGAATGTATCGGTAATGTTAAAGATTTTCGGGCTATTCAATGTTCGGAATACGATGATACACCATTAGATGGTAACTACTACAAATGGTTACCGTATCCAGGAAAGAATAAATGCGAGTTAACCTGCAAACCACATAATGCTAATTTCTACTATAAATGGGCTGATAAAGTGATTTTCACATATTTTTTTTTAATTTTTGCATAATCAGAAAAGCCATAAACATATCTATATGTTGAACAATTAATTAATGATGATGCGGAAATCGAAAATTTATCAACTAATTAATAGCAGTTGATTAGTATAATGTAAATTTTAGGTAATAGATGGTACAAGATGTGATTATCGTACCAATGATATTTGTGTGGAAGGAGTTTGCTTACCAGTTGGATGTGATAATAAACTTGGATCAGGTTTTATTAATTTTTTATTTCTTATAAATATGATTTCCTTTCTCAATTTGATAATATTAAACTTATGATGTATAATATAATGTATATTAACAATTAATTCAGACATATTTTAGCAATGAAAAATGATAAATGTGGTAAATGTGGTGGTGATGGATCACTATGTAAAACTGTTGAAGGATATTTCGATGAACGTAATTTATCACCCGGTTATCATAACATTATTCGATTACCAGTTGGTGCTACGTCAATTTTGGTAGAGGAATTGCATTCAACAACTAATTCACTCGGTAAATTTAAAATCATTAATGAAAATGTATTACTGTTTAAAAAATCGATAATCTCTATATTAAATCACAACATGTATAAATACATTCATTTTCAGCAATAAAGAATACAACGGATTATTATTACCTTAATGGCAATTATCAAATTCAATTAACTGATAAGGATTTGGAAATTGGTGGAACATTGTTCGAATATGACACACGGAAAAATTTAGATCATCCATTTGAAAAATTAACCGCTAAAGGACCAACTACAGAAGAACTTATCATCGCGTTGCTTTTTCAACGTGGAAATAGAGTTTGTTTTTTCATTCATTTATCAATGCGTTGATAATTCATACCACAAATTATGTATTTTATCAATTAAAAGTTCGTCATTTATCATATTTTTTATCACGAAAAGTTTTCTGATAATATTTCAAAGTATATTGTTTGTTTTACTACAAGTAATCCTATTCGGCTGAAGAAAAATGAATTATTATAATTTTAATCTATACTAAATGTTGATAGCTTATGCTGATAAGAATAAATAATATAAAATAGCTTGAAGTATATTAGGAGAATGAATATATGAAGAAAATTTGAATACGTTCAAAATTGTTAATGTAATCATAAGAAAGTAAACGTTTATTTGTCTTGAACGACATCTTTTCAGTGCAGCATTTATTGACATTTATCATTCCACTTAAAAATTAACATCATCAACATTAACACTGTTAATATTCTTTATCAACAATTGCTTTGAATCACATTTTGCTATATGTAAAATTATTTTAAACTGAATTTTTAAGATCTAATTTTTTACAACATTTTTGTAATTGAATTTCTTTTTCAGGATGGTGCTATTAAATATGAATTTTCGGTACCATTAGAGGATGAAATTCCATATATCTATAAACTTGACCAATGGTCATCTTGTTCGGCAACATGTGGAAAAGGTAATGTATTTCGGTTTTTTCTTCTCTCAAAATTTCTTCATTACTACTTGAAGATTGTTTATAAAATTAAAATTTTTATTTCCTACCAATACTAAATTTGTAAAGAAAAAAAAATCTAGTAGAAGATATATAAATTTTCATAGAAAAAAATGACATCAAATATTTATTTAATTTATGCTTTGACAAAACATTCTATTGAGTTACCTTTTTTGGGAGAAAATAAATTCAAAGAATGATATGAGGAAAAAGATCAGGAGAAGAAGAAAGCATAATATAAAGTTAATATATTTATAGGTATTCAAATTCGTACACCATATTGTATTGAGAATACATCCGGAAAACGTGTATCAGATGATATTTGCGAAGAACATAATGTCACCAAACCTATTTCTGAGAAAGTTTGCGAAACAATTGATTGTGAAGCAGAGTAAGGATTCTTCTTTTTTCTTCTATTATTTTTTGATTTTAAAAAATGATCATTTCAAATTCCTAAAAATGTAGCATTTGAACAAAAATTAAATTGAATGAAAATTTGAATAATGTTAATGAAAAAGGGAACTATCGTACTATTAATATCGGTAATGATAAGAATAGTGATAATGATAGCAGTTATTTGCTTATAACTGTGCAGTTTATTAGCATAGTAATATCGATAGTTGATATCACAACAATATATCTTGGATACATTCATGTAACAATTCTTCGAAATAAATTAACACTTTTCAATTTAGTTTGTTTACCAATTAAGCAAATAAATATTTCAAAAAAAAACTTCGAGAAATGTAAAAATACCTATTTTTACGATTTTATATCATATTTAAAGATGGTATAAAGGAGAATGGGAACCATGTAGTGTGTCATGTGGAGAAAATGGTATTCAATATCGTGTCATCTACTGTCATCAGGTATTTCTGGACGGTAAACGGATTACTATTGATGATGATAACTGTAGTATGGAACGTCCCGCGATACAACGACCTTGTAACAGGTAGCAGTTTGAAAAAAAAAAATCACAAATAATTAAAGATATTAAACTTTGCATTTACATCTTAGGATATTATAATTTTCGTAATATAAGCATCAAATTGAAAAGGAAAAAATAAAATATCGCGAAAAGTTATGCAAAAAAAAGTGCAACAGGAAAGTTTAACTACTTTGTACTTTGTAATATTAGATTTTCGTGTCCGGAATGGCAAGCAGGACCGTGGAGTGCATGCTCGGAAAAATGCGGTGATGCATTCCAGTATCGTTCGGTAACATGTAGAAGTGCAAAAGAAGGTGAAGAGGGTAAATTACTACCAGCTGAAGCATGCGATGGTGAAACTATGGAAACACAACGAAATTGTAATTTGGGTCCTTGTCAAGGGCTTAATTTCGTCACAACTGAATGGAAATTGGTTTAAAAAATTTCTTTTTAATTTTTCATTTAAAATTAGAAACTTACTAATTGTTTCATCTAAAAATCATACTGTGAAAAAGAAAAAAAATATTAAAATAAGGTCAAAGAATTAATCTAAATGGGACTCTTTGATCATTTCAATATATTTATATCATTTCACATATTCATATATCAGAAATAATTTGCATAATGATATGATATGATATGTTATCATTATAGAAAAAAAGAAAAATAAGGCTATAATCAGATCATATTGATCAATTTGTTCCGATTAATAAAATGACAAATAGTTTTAATTCAAATATTTATCAATCCAATGAATAATTTAATCTCAGTTTACTTGAGTTAAACATGTTTAGCTCAAGTAAACTAAGATTAAATTATTTCAATTATAAATAGTTCAATTTAAATAGTTTTGAACTACATTTGAAATTTGACAGTATTGACTGTTTTATCCAAAATTTTAATTTGTCTTTATCATCATGAATATAATAAAAGGTAATGAAATTTTTTTTCAAACAAAGAAAAATATTAAAAAAAGAAATGATTAATATTTGATAAAGATTAGTAGATAAATACATACTATTATAAAGAATAAATATAAAGATAGATCTACTTATCAAATAATCGAAATATTTGATAATATTAATTTGTTAAAATAATCTAATCATTTTTATATCGCAAAAATTTGCATAGAAAAAATTGCTTTTCAAATGATCAAATTGGTTAAAGTAAATATTTCATTAATTCTTTATTGCTCATTTATACAAGGTATTCGATTTTTTAAAGAATATTATTAAAATATTTAAAAAATATATTTAGTGTGAACAATGCAATGATACGGAAGAAATTAGAAATGTAACATGTGAAGATATTAATGGCCGATTATATCCGTTGGAGAAATGCTTGAATGGAAATTCTACTGAGATACCCATTGATGTACGGCCATGTTCTTCACCACAGGTAATATTTATAGTTATTCTAATTAAGTAAAATCAATTTAAAAGTTTATTTATATGGAAAACTTGTATAAAAATTTCAGCCATGCAATTATGAATGGCATACATCAGAATGGTCAAAATGTAGTACGGAATGTGGTCATGGACATAATTCAAGACGAGTAGTATGCGCTATCCATCAATTAGGCTGCCTTACAGTAAGTTTTTTCTTCTTTCAATGAGTGAAAAAATATTGATCAAAAGTGCGATTTAATCAGCCTGATCCATTTATTTTATCATGTCATAAAATGTTAACAATACTTGTTTTGATTTTCATTTTAGCTATCATCTTGGCTAGATTTCTTATGCTAATCTTTTTGAAGATATAAGGAATTCCTTTGACCTTTCAACTTTTCCTTACAGGTAGTAGATGATGGACACTGTAATTTAGAGAATAAACCAGAAGCAATTAAAAATTGTACGAATGAAGAGAAGTGTAATGGAACATATTATACAGGTCCATGGAGTAAATGTTCAGCCGAGTTAGTTTTATAAAAAATTTTCTTATGCTATTTTGTGATCAAAACGCAATTTCCGGATACATTATTACATAATTCTCTCGGAAATAAATCACTGGATGATAATATATTAGACAAAGGATTTTTATAGCAGTTAATTTAGATGTGGTGGCGGAACGCAAAATCGAATGATTGTTTGTCTAAATTACGATCAGAAACCTGTTCCGGAATGGTGTGATGAAGCGGAAAAACCATCAGAAGAACAAGATTGTAACGTAGAAGCTTGTCCAAGTATTTTTTTTTTACTTTACTCATGGTCATCCAGTGAGTGATTCCCTTCAGGCGATTGCGTGCTAGACATATGTGGCTATAAACGGTCATGTTACAACCGGAATGCATGTAGATCCCTGATCAGATAATTTCGCTAGTACCGAATCGTATGTTGAAGTGTACCACTCTTTAGGCAATGAGGTAAAGAGACAAATTCATATTCAATTAAAATAATTTAGAATGCGATGATAGTGAATTTGGATGCTGTCCGGATAACGTAACGATGGCAATTGGGCCATATCTAGCCGGATGTTCAAACTGTTCCAGTTCTCTATTTGGCTGCTGTAATGACAATGTAACCGAAGCACAGAGCATTACTGGAGAAGGATGTGCTGAATTTGTTGAGATGGAGGGAAGTGGCGAGGGAATCGAACATTCCATCAAATCTATGTTTCTTTTTCTTCTTTCCAATGTTCATCTTCTATCCCGGATAAGAATTACCTCCTATTGTTATATGAAACCGCATAAACAAATGAAATAAGAGTAATCAGAAGTAGAAATAATCGATTTAAAATTTAAATGATATAATTCCAATAGGAATCGAAAGAAGCACTGCTCCACCAGAAATGCATCCCATACCGAAGCAATTGTCGAACATATAGTTTTAACTAAGAATGGATAGATAAAAAAAGAGTTCATTTACTTCAAGCCACGACAGTTACGTTCTGGAAAAACAGAATAAGGCAAATGCAAAATTATGAACCTTTGTTGTCAAGAATACGAAAGATAGAAAAGTGATATATTATAACTGCAAATTTGATTGCAAATAATTGTTGCAGTGAGGACGAACTTTGTGAAGTAGTAAATGAAAAAACTGGTGAGAAAGCAATGGTTGCTTGCTGGAATGGTACCATCGATAATACTAGTACCATTGAAAAATTGTTGTTAGAAGTTGAAGATTTATTTTTCAATGCTACTTATGATAATGAGACAAAACACTGCACTAAAACAGAATTTGGTTGCTGTCCAGATTGGACAACTATCGCTGAAGGGAAAAACAACGAAGGGTGTCCACAATTCGTGCTTGGTACGTTATTCCTATATATCCCAATGTTAATACCTTTGTTTTTTTTGTTTGATTGCATAATTTGTGTATGATATTAGCAATATTAATAAGTAACAATAATAATTAATAATATTAATAATTGGCAATAAATGATGATAAGTGATAAATGATGATAATAATAATAAATAATTGTTATTATAGTAACAATAGTAGTAGTAGTAGTAATAATAATATTAATAGTAATAAATTAATTAAAGGTGTATGCAATGAAACAAAATTTGGTTGTTGCCCGGATGAAGTAACTTTGGCTCGAGGTTCAAATTTTGAAGGTTGCGGTGAGCCAACTTGTGCAGCATCATTGTATGGTTGCTGCAAAGATCGCAAAACGATCGCTTTTGGACCACATTATTTTGGTTTAAATAATTTGCTTTTTCCAATTTATAGCTCTTTTTTGAATCATTTCTTTTTTCAATAAATAACGATTGGTAGATGAAAGATATGATTATTTTATTTATTATTTCTTTTATTATCATAATTAATTATCTCTTTTCTTTCCTTATTATCATTTATAACAGTTGTATAAATGTTATTTTATTTTAAGGATGCGAACGATCGTCATTTCCATGTGAATTGTCCACATACGGTTGTTGTCCGGATGGTGAAACGGCAGCATTAGGGAAGAATGGTAGCGGTTGCGGTGAAAATTGTTTAACGACCAAATTTGGCTGTTGTCCAGATGGTAAAACAACTGCGAAAGGAGTAGACAATAAAGGTAAATTTGAAGCGGTTTATGGCCGTGAATTAATTTTGTAGTATTTGAGAATGGAAAAGCTCTAATGACCGGTATTCTATAATTAAGAAATTTAATGAATGTGCTATTTTTCTTGATTTTAGCATAAAATTTTTCAGGATGTGGTTGCAAATATGCACAATACGGTTGTTGTCCGGATGGTAAGACAACAGCAAAAGGTCTTAAAAATTACGGTTGCCCTATATCATGTGCTCAGAGTCAATATGGTTGTTGCCCGGATGGTAAAACAAGCGCTCATGGACTAAACAAAGAGGGCTTGTTTTTTTCTTTTTTTATATTGAAACCTAATTAATCTGTTTATTTGCACCATTCGTTAGATTGATCAAAGTATCCTTTTGGGAAATGATTTGAAGTAATTGTAAGAAGAAGAGGAAGTAACTATGCTTATCTTATAGGTTGTCCATGCCAATACACTCAGTACGGATGTTGTCCGGATGGTGAAACGACCGCTCTTGGTCCGATGAATGAAGGATGTGATGATTGTCGATATGCGAAGTTTGTTTCTTTTTTCGTATCATTTTACCTCATTGCATAATTTTGAACATTTACAAATATGATATAATATTAAGGTATGGTTGCTGTCCTGATAGTGAAATTCGAGCTATCGGCCTTCAATATGCTGGATGTCCATCTACTACACCGGCACCTTTCATTATAGGCGGTTCTATTGCACCAGAAAAAATCAGTAATACTCGCATGATTTTCTCATTCTCTTCAGGAAGCCTATTGATAAGATGATGAAAGAATGATTAAAATTTGATAAAACAAATAATAATTGTTAATTGTAATAATAACTGTACAGGTGAAGTTTTTTCATTTATTTTATAAAGGAAACAAAAGAAAAACATTTCTTAGAATTAATTAGCAAAATTTCAGTTTCATGTTCGTTGTCACAAGATCAGGGTACAATATGTCATCCAGGTTATAAATTACTGTGGTACTATGATACTGGCGAAGGTCGTTGTAAGCAATTTTGGTATGGCGGTTGTGATGGTAATGAAAATCGTTTTGCAACAAAAGAACAATGCGAAGCAGTTTGTGTAAAACCACCAGGGACAGGTTTGTTTTTCCAACAAATTGTTCGTTTTCTTCTAATTAGTAAACTGAATTGGATTGTTTAAATAATTTATTAATTTTAAATCTGTCACTTTTTTCCAGGTCGTTGTTTCCTACCTAAAGTAGAAGGACCATTACGATGCAATCAGTTATCAGCCCGTTATTGGTATGATTATACAACCAAACAATGCGGCGCTTTCTGGTGGCGTGGTTGTTTGGGAAATGATAATAATTTTGAAAATTGGGAAGAATGTCAAAATTTTTGCGCTGATATCGGTCCAATCAAAAAGTCAAAAAATGCATCATCACGATTAAAGGTATAAAATAATTAGTATAATAGGACAGTTTTAATTTAGCTTTTAACATATATTAAGAAAAAGTAAATATCTGAGGATTCTAAGATAAAATTTTATTTTAGACAATTCAGATCGACGAATTTATGACAAGTGTTTCACCACTTGAATATTCACGTTTTGATGTTTCCAACGAATTCGCGGATGGTGATGATACACTTATTTCAATTGAACAAAAAACTTCCATACCTCATCAACAACCGCTTCCAGTATTTATTCCAAATGATCGTCAATTAGGCTTATCACAAGAATCCTTGCAAGTACCATTACCACAACCACACCAACCATCACCAATACCTCAAAAACAACGTAAGTTATATATATATAAAGTAAATGTGTGTGTGTGTGTGTATTGTGTGCGTGTATATATGCGTTTTATTATTGTAAGAAATATCTATTTGTAGTAACCACTGAAGAAGTATGTCAATCAACCGCTGATAGTGGACCATGTGGTAATTATGTGGATATGTACTATTATGATTCATTCACCGATAGATGTCATCTATTCATTTACGGTGGATGTGGTGGTAATTTGAATAGATTTAAAACACAAGAAGAATGCGAAGCGCGCTGTTCACATGTTGGAGCTAGTAGAAGAAATTGTAAATTGTTTGATTATCACTTGTTGTTTTTTTTATTTTTAAAATAAATTTGATCAATTTATTATAATGAAGAGAAAAATGAATATTGCTATCACTTTTTCTATAATGATATTTAATAATTATCATTATGATAATAATTACAATAAGCATGAATGAAATTGTCACACATGTTGAATAATTAGTTACTTATTTTAGTAATGTTATCATAAAATGTCAAATAATATTGATCGAGAAAGCAAACAATTATAGGATAAATTTTCGAGAAGCTATTATGTTTATAATATTAATAGCAAAATTAACATGTGATATAATATTGATTGTATTCTAATCAGAATCAGAATCGTCATTATCATACTGAAGAGTCGATCAATAATTTTTAAACATGTGCTAAAAACCATCAAAACAATATCTGACTTCTTAATACTTCTTTTTTTTCTGGTAAAATTAAATTTGAAAATGATGATCTAATAATTAAAATAATATTCTAATAAATAATGAATGTTAGTTTCAGTTGGTCGAACTCAGTCACTTCCAACAGCGCAACAAAATGAATTAATACCTGTCGCATTACCGAAATCAGGCTCATTTGATGTCCCAACAATGCGTAAACTCTTAAAAAATTAGAAAGAGGAAAACAGCAATGACATTTTGAAGTTTAAGTGTATTAATTTATTCATTCATTTATTCATTATCGACTTAGTTTCGAATTTGCATAGGTCGATCACGTGATGCTTGCAATGAACGAATGGATGTTGGTCGATGTAATGGTGCTTTTCAAAGTTATTACTTTGAACGTGCAACAGGTACCTGTGAGCCATTCCGTTATTCTGGATGTGGTGGTAATGCTAATCGTTTTCAAACTAAGGAGCAATGTGAAGATTTATGTGTGCATCGTGCATCCGGTGTTAAATCTGGAACACATCCATCTTTTATTCCTGATCAAGCACTCAAACATCTTATACCAATATCAGATGGTAAAAGTGTTACCTATTTTTCGTTTTATTATTATTTTTATTTTTGAGGTGACAAGAAAAGCAGAATTACTTATATACATGTGAATGCTTCAGTGTAAATTAAGGTGTGTATGTCAAATAACTGAATCCAATTGTTTGAACCTTTAATGTGAAATCTCGAATATCTCAAGCCAATTTATGCTTTCTTATTTTTCTACAGCTTCTCATAAAGTCGAGTCAGTATCAAAATGTGAACTCTCGAAGGATACTGGTCCATGTAATCGATTTGTTACAAAATGGTACTATAATAAAATTGATGGTACTTGTACACGATTTCATTATGGTGGCTGTGGTGGTACTGATAATCGTTTTGATAGCGAACAGCAATGCAAGAATGAATGCGGTAACTTCACTGGTTAGTTTTAGTTTTGTTTTCTTTTAAAAAATTTAATAGAAAAAAATGCAATTCAATAAATAAACAAGTGATATATAATTGATTAACTTTGAAATATGCGGAATATGATAACGAATTGATTATGTAAAATAAGAGTGGTAACATTTTTCATCAAAATCACTACATTTCCTCATTCAGCTCTCTTTTCATTCCTTTTTTTCATTTATTTGTTTCCTTTTTTCTCTCTAAATTATGAAAAAATCTTAATTAATTTCTTTTTAACTATATATGAATATTGAAATTGACCAGAAGTTTCTCGCTCAAAGTATGTCTAGGATGGAAAGAGAAGATTATGGAGAGAAAGTAGGAAAAGTATTTTGTGCAAATTTTCTAGATCCATGCAAATTACCAAAAGTAAATGGGCCATGCTCTGGAAAACATAAACGATACTACTTCAATTCCGATACCGGTCGATGTGAACGTTTCGAATATGGTGGATGTTTAGGCAATACCAATAATTTCCTACATCTTGCTGATTGTGAAGCAAAATGTTTATCATCCGAAAAACGTGAGTAATTAATATCAAATACACTTATTCTAATAAGCTCTATTGGAATGAAAACTTTTGTGAACTGTTAATTACATTCAATTATTTTCTTTCATAATTTGAATTATTACTGTTACAAAAATTTGCCATCATATTGCAATAGATGGCTGAATATTGTTATCAATTAATTACTCTGATTAATTAATTTCCCGAACATTGTTATCAATTAATTATCTTAATTCCCTGCTTTTTAAAATTGATAATTCAAAATTGATAGTTTTTCTTTTGGAATATGAAATTATCAGACAAACATAAGATTAGTTGCAAATGAAATGAAAATTGTAGATTGGTTAAAATGTTCTCAAGTCGCATATCAATCAAATTTGTCCACTATTTGTTAACTTAACATGTTTGTTTCCGTAGCATTTTATTGCAGCAATTCTTTTATGAGAAGCTTATTTTGTCATTTCTTCTCTTTTTTCATTCAGGAATTTTTCTCCGTGTTAAAAACTTTTTAAACTCCTGATATTTACCTATGCAAATAATTTAAATCAATAATTATCATTATTCATTGATTTCAATATTCATCCTTTTTCTCTTCTGTTATTATTATTTTGATGATAATCCATTTTGTCATAATGAATTTTTGTTAATTTTTAAATTATTTTTTCCTTTTTCTCTTTCTTTTCTTTTTTTACAACAAATACTTTTTGTTTTAGAGAATGTACTAATTTACATATCTAGTAAAAATAAATCATTTCATTTTGCTAATTGACAACTGAATAATAATTGCAATAATGAGTTAAATCCTATGAATGAATACTTTTATAATTCCTTCATATTTTCTAAAAATTTGACCTTTTAACCTTACAATTTCTTTAGAATTTTCAAAATTTGAACCTTTATTTTAACCTATTTCCTTTCTTTCACCTATATGCAAACATTGAAACATCATCACATCAACAATTATTTATACTCCATAAATATGGAATGAAATGAAAATAAACCTTATTTATCACATTCCATTCATTACCTGTCATTATGCAATATTTCGACAACTATCGGTAAATTTCCTTCAATTTTTTTTTTCGTTTATATCTTTAACAATATGTTAATGCTTTATTTTTTCATAATAATTAAAAATTTCCAAATAATTATAATTCTTTTATTTTGTTTGCACGGCGTGTTTTTTTCTTGCATGTTATCATTCATTGCATGTTATCATTCATATTATCATTCATTATTTTTTTCTTTGGTCTTCATTTTAGTTAGAAGATTTCTTTTCTAATTAATTGTTAACTTCGAGAGAAAAATCCGAATATCTAAAATAATTTGTAAAATATATTTATATATTTGAGTTATACAACGATATATTAACAATTTAGCTAATAGCGAAGAGAACAATGAGAAAATATGCGTATGAAATTTATAATAAATTAGAATAATTGTTATGATTCTAATAGTACGATTATAAAACTACCATCAGTAACAATTTATTAGCATTAGATGAATTAATTCTTGAGGATATACGGCTAGATTTATAACAAGAAATAATTCGATTAATTGCATCGAGCAATAGCAATTAATTGTGATAAATAAAACTTTGGTAAATTAAACTTACAGAAAAATTTTAGCAGAATTAGCATGAAATATATTTAAAAATTACTATACTTAACTATTGATTGGAACATATTTTAAAGTTGAAACTTGTAAGCTTAATTTAGCAAGTGTAAATTGCTAAAGCTGAATATAATATAATTAATATGAATAATATGTAAATTTTTTGCGGTGAATAATAACAAAATATTACAGGTAATTATATTCAGCTTAACTGATCTAACCATTTTTTTTTGTTATCAAACTGTACAGTTGTTTAATTTATAATTAACATTTTGAAGTGATATTTAATAGCATATTCCATTATTCAAATGATTCAACAATATTTGCTACTGTTAAATCAAATATCATTTGCAGATTTCAATTGGGAAAATTTATTAACAACAAGACGATGTTCGTTACCTAAAATTAGTGAGTCATGTAGGTATGTGTAACAAATTTCTTAATAATTATCGATTTGATGTTAATATTCCGTTCTATCATGAATTCTTAATGAACAATAAAACGAGCAGTTATAGATCAGTTGTAAATTTTGGATTAATAATAAATTGAGCAATTCTAGATCAATTATAAATTCTAGCTTAATAGTAAATGCGATAATTCCAGACCAATTGTAAAACGATATTATTATGATGAATCACTCGGTGAATGTTTACCATTTTTTTATGGCAATTGTATCGGAAATGAAAACGGTTTCGATAGTATAAATGATTGCATAGATAATTGTACTATGCATTCAAATATTCAGGTATCTTTTTTTATAAAATCAATTTAATTTTTAGAATATTAAAAATTGAACTTTTTAATTCAACCATAAATTTTTTAGCTACGGAAAACTAATAATATCATTATCACTCCTCCTCCAAACATGCAATTGTTATGATTTCTACAAATAATCAGACATTTGAAAATGAAATGACTAATTGAGTGAGGCACTATGTGATTTGTTACACAAAGGAATAGGATAATAATGATAATGATAATGACACTGAATGATACAGAATAATTTGATAACGAGCACGAAGATTATTAGTAAAGAAAATGAACCGACGAGAACGCTAAGTTTAATTAGAAAAAATAGAAAATATATGATTTTTTAGGTAGTAAAACGACCATACATCTGATGAAATATTAATATTACGCTAAACTAAAATAAATTAACAGGATTTTGAAACGAATGTTATATCATTTGATGGACACGTTAATCGTTTCCAGAAAAATATCCGTCATAACGTTTACGGTGCGCCAAATGTTCACGTAGAGAATGGAAATCATCTGGTATACTGATCACGTATAAATTTTTATCCAATAATTCAGTAATATATTCATGCTATTATGATAATTTAATGATATATTCATATGGTTTGTGGCCAAATTTTTGTCTTGTAGAGTGATAATTTCGAAAAATTTTCAATACCTGAAACGAGTAGCACCAAATCGATTGCTACTACTACATCTGCAGAAAAGGCGATAATGGAATTTGATCAGGTGTATGATAATGAAGAAAAAGTAATAATGGTTGATACTGTTGAAGGACTTGAGAATGAATCTTTCTTCTCTTTACCAGGTATTTTAATTCTCTATGAATGTCTATTAAATTTAAGATTCAAATGATTGATGTTAATTGGTATTTGAAAATTATAGAGCTATGTTTGCTACCGCAAGATGCGGGGCCTTGCTTTGGTGAAATTTTGCGATGGCGATATGATTCCGAAACAAATCGTTGTGAAACTTTCATCTACACTGGTTGTGGACATAATGCAAATTACTTCACTTCGGAAGAAGCCTGTTTAAGAGCTTGTGGAGAATATCGAAATAGCGGTACTTGATTGCTTGAATATTTAAATAAAGCAATAGAATCATCGCAATATCTTTGAGAATCAGATAATCTTCATTTGCCTTCAATTTTTTTTAATTTTCTCGATATACTTATAGTATAAGCTTCTAATTCTTTTTTTACATTATTCTAACTTCTTGTATGTTTACAAGAAGCTGGAATAATATGTTAAGTATGTTTACTATGATAAAATTAAAACAGCCAGATTTGAATATTTGCCTAATTTTGGACTTGTACAACAAAATTTCAACTTGATATTAAAAGTTATGCTATTTGAGAGAATGAGGCGAATAATTTTCTTCTTTAGACGTATGTACGATGAAAGTGGATCGTGGTCAATGTGAATTAGGTATAACCAAATGGTATTACAATGTGGATACTGGGCAATGTCATGTATTCATTTATACTGGTTGTGGTGGTAATGGTAATCGATTCTCTTCAAAGGCTGAATGCGAACATCTCTGCACTTCTGAGATACTTTTTTACACCGGAAATGATGATGGTTAGCTGAATTCATGTTGTAATCGATAATAAGAATCGTATATGATATCACCTAATCGATTTACTTTGATTAATGTTCCAGAGAAAGATATTTGTCAGTTAGATCGAGAAAGTGGTCCATGTGCTGATCCAGTAACACAATGGTATTTTGACTCACGCATCTCACGATGTATGCAATTTACATATGGTGGTTGTCGCGGTAATGGTAACCGATTTAATAATCAGGAACTTTGTGAGCAAAGATGCTTAGAGAAAAATAAAATGAAAGGAATAATTGATCGAACAGAAGGTAAATTTTTTAAATGATTATAAGACAGTCTGATTAATGGCTATGAATTTCGTGTGAGCGATTTCACACTCATTTTATTTGTCAGTTCAGGTAGATAAAATTATTTGAATAGCTGACATTATAAAATTTGTCAATTATACAGTAATTAAAATAGCACATTAAAAGAATATTGGTGCATAAAAGAATATTGGTTGAAATGAATGACTGACATATTAATATTGATTGATATAATATATAACGTAAAATGTTGCTAAGCAATTTAATTGACTTTTATGCTTCGAATAAGAATAATCAAAAATCCTCAATAACTAACACAAAAAATATTAGAAAAATAAAAAAGGGCAAAAAGCAATAAAACAATTAAAAAAATAAACAAACTGATCTGATCTCCTAATTACAAATTAGAAATTTTAAATTAAACTAATATAGCACAAACATTAAAAAAGTCATTTACAGACAGCTGTTTATTGCCATTGGAAATTGGATCATGTCAAGATAATCAGCAACGATGGTATTTTGATAAATCTGTTGGATATTGCAAGACATTCATGTACAGCGGTTGTGAAGGCAATCAGAATCGGTTTTTCAATGAAGATGAGTGTATCCACCACTGGTAATTATTAATTGAAGAATTACAATTACTCAAGTTGTCCAGATGACTGATGAATTTAGGAAGATTCATGGAGTGGATAATATCTTTATCCACTTGGATAACGATTATTTATTTGGAAATACAATCATCAACTATAGAATTAGAATTATTCAAGCTGTTTTAATGAATGTTTGATGAAATCAGAAACACTCAGGAGATAATATCTCTATCCCCATGAAATAGAGATATTTATTCAGAAATATAATTTCTTTTTTTGTAGCTAAGCAAATACATAACGTTCGTATTGTTTAGCTCTGTTTACCTGTATAAGAGACAATTGAAAGTAAGTCGTCCAAAGCTTATCCTTTTTGGTTATAATCCGGCACCTATAGGATCGACAATAACATTAAGATGTAAAGCTAATGGACAGTTTCCTATACAGTGGCATGAAAACGGCATGTTACTTCAAATTCCAAACGATGACCAAAGGATATATGTAAGTATTTTCTTTTGAAGTTTGAAAATGTATTAAATTTCTTCATTCTTGAAAGTCTCTTTGAAATGTTAAAAATTATGCCAACAAAAGAATTATTTCTTTGTTGGTATAATTTTTTGTTGTTATAATTTATCAATTGAAAAACTTTGACGGAAAGATTTTAAATTATTAGAATTAAGAGGAAAAAGATATCAAAGCTTTAAGATTTCAAGTTATATAACTTAGATGAAGAAACTTTATCATCAGTTTGCAAGATTAATGGTAACAAATTGTTACAAGCGTTATCATTTATAACTATCATCATTTAAGGTTTAATGGATTTACAGGAAGGCTAGATTATAATAACTCTCTATGTAATAGTCATCTTTCATACAAATCTTACTAGCTATTTTCAGAATCTTACTAGCTATACATTAAAATTCCTAGAAAGAAGGTAGAATATTGATTGGATAATTATTATTTCAAGTTCCAATTTTCGATTCCTTATTTCACTTACTTGAAATGAATTATATAAAATTGCAGATGAATGATGATCATAGCGAAGTACACATTACTAATATACATGAATCGGATGTCGCTGATTATTCATGTTCTGTTGGCATAAATGCCATTTTATCCAATTCTATTCATTTAGACGTCAAAGGTTTATTTAAATCTAATTTTATTTAAAGCATTTAGCATTTCATAAAAAATAGCAATGAATGATACTTTATCACAATTACTACTGCTACTATTACTTGACTGATATTTTGATAAGCAAAAAGAAAATGCCAAATATTTTCCCCATTGAATTACTATCATTTCTTATCTATTTGAAATTCAATTATGATAAATTTCAGACGTTGAAATAATAGAATCATGTATGGATAAAGGTAATCAAATTACGTGCAAACTAATAACAAAAATTGGATTATGCACGAATCCACGTTACAGTAGTTTTTGTTGCCATACTTGTTCTCTCTTTCTTTTATCTAATAAATTTACATAAATTAATGCTCATAGATGCTCAAATTATTGAAATGATTAGCCACATAAAGAATTCCCAGGTCATTACCCGATATTTCCAGCACATTTCCAGCACCAATAGCTTTATTCTGTTACAATTTTATTTTATTAAATGGTAAATTATTTATAATATCAAAGGTAAATTAACCAAGAAATTACACTAAGCTTTACTATTTCCTATTTTGTATTACGCAAAACTTGCTTCCTTGTTGTTTAATAAGTTTTTGGAAATGAAAGATTTAATAAAATCACATTTCATTCCCTGAGGCATTCTGAACCTCTAACAGTGATGTATGACATATTCCAATTTAATATATAATTCCATCATTTACATATTGAATAAACCGAAGTATTGCTTACTTAACTTATAATTTTACTACGACAATGCAGTTGTTATCTTTTGTTTCAATAATTTTATTAAAGTTTAATTATGAAAACTTTTTTTTTGAAATAATATCATTTGATATTAAAGATTTGTCGCATTGTTTCTTATCATTTTTGCTTTCTTATTATTTATTGTTGAATGTATTGCAGATTTTAATATTTCACTTGGGGCTTTGAAAAAAAATTAAAAAATTCAATACTTTGTGAAGTAAGCAATAATTTCAGCTCAAATGTAAGAAGTAAAAAGTAATATAAGAAGTACTATTATCATTTATGTTAATATATAAATATATATTTTTAATGATCTACCTGCAATATTCAAACCATTATATTCGAAACTCAAGAAAAAAGTTTATATACAGCAATGTTGACATTTTCATTTCACCCATTCATTTTCTTTTGTCTTTTTTTTTAAAATTTTAAATTAAAGTTTCAATTTCCTTATAGTGATTTCCCAAAGGGTGCACACTAGAAAAGGATAAAAATAGTCATTTATGTTTGAGAGAAAAAGAGAAAAAGGAAAAGGGAAAAAATTATTTGTCATTTTTATAAATGACAATATTATTATCTCCAGTTTTCTCTATCAAGTGATGAAATAATGAAAATATAAGTGGTATATATGAATATATATAATTTCACACATTTTCAAAAAAAAAGCTGACTAATGATAGCTTAATTCAAAGATAACTAACAGACGTGATATTAATCATCTTTACAAGGAATTCAATTTACAAATCAATTAAACAACATTTAATCTGAATTATTATAAGAAATAAAAGTTGATGAACATGAAAATAAAAATACGATTAAGTATTGGTTATATTATCGCAAATTTACCATTCACCACCACCACCACCAAAGTCACCACCACCAAAATCACCGCCACCAAAATCACCACCTCCAAAATCACCACCACCAAAATCACCACCACCAAAATCACCACCACCAAAATCATCACCACCTCCTATATCATAACCGCCAGAAGCATCATAACCGCCAGAATCACCAAAATCTCCTCCACTCACGTCATACCCATCGTTATAATCTTGTACCGTATCCTGGTTATCTGTTGAATCAATTGCAGCAACTGCTGATGAGTCTTCATGATATTCACTAATTGTACCACTATTTCCTGCATCACCGCCATAGTAGTTATTGGTGATATATGTGTCATTATCCTAAATTTCTTTCCAAGTAAATTTTTTTCCATCAATTTTGAGATATTTCTCAATAATTACTTAAAATTTTCGCTAAAAATTAGAACAAAAATTTTAATCTTTATATGTTTTTACGTAATTAATTGAATTAGTTGTATATAATTAATTCCGATAAAAACACATGTATCATTTCATTTCCTTTTATTATTTCAATTCGTGCAAAAATGGCTTATTTTCTTTACAGTTAAATAAAATAACATAATTTTTTACCTGCACATATCCTCCTCCGCCAAAACCATTACCCATTCCCATTCCTATTCCCATATGAGATGGATAACAATGACCACCAAAACCAAATCCGGAATGCCAACCACCACCCCACGTACTTCCTAATCCGAAGCCTAGCAATGAACCCATTAACATGCCACTTCCAAGACCAAGACCACTGCTTCTTCCACTATATCTACCACCATATCGTTCGTTCCCGTAGCCTCCTCCATTTCGATCCTGCTAAGAACAAAAACAAGTGAGTAAAAAGTTTCAGATTTACTTATATCTCAAAAAACATAACAATAGTAAAAATAATACAAAAAATTAACTTACAATAATAATTGTTGTGGGACCACCACCACCACCATAATTTGGTACTGTTGAAGCATACACTGGTGGTTGTGATGGATTTGTTGTTGGATTATATGCCGGTTGGCTAGGATATGTAGTGGTCGCTTGAGGTGGACTACTCGGATATACTGGAGGAGGATCTAAATTTGATAAACTGTACACGAAAAAACATTAAAACACAACAATTTTGTAAGTCTAAAAAACCGATCTCAAAAAGCGCCTTCGGAAGAAAAAAAAACTTACTATAGGTGGGCGGCGGTGCATTAGATCCACTTGTCGGTAACTGTTGCGAAGTATTAGCTGGAGGAGGATTTGGTTTCGGTAGAGTTTTCATAATTTCCGTAAACCATGATCTGAAAAAACAACACATGTGAAATTACTGATTTCATATGGAAAAAACGGTGCAAGTATAACTGACGAATTAATAATATAATAAGCAGAATAAGCTCAAAATTACTCAAGATCGGAATCGGATGAGAACAGGAACCAGTAGACTTTGTTTGCTTGTGAATCCATTCCAATACCTACTAGATGATGTAGCGAGTATCGTTGTGGTAATTCTGGTCGACGTACTGCAAATTGCAAATAAACTTTAAATTATTTCATGTATGTTGATTAAGCTAAAAAACTCAAAAATTTACACCTATCTGTATCTTAAAATTATCGAATCCTAAGTTATTCAGTCAAACATATAAGCTTAATACATTCACATTTAAATCATCCAAACGTCTATCAATGCAATATCCAACCTATAACCTATCATCACCTTGCTGATTGGTATAATTGGTATAAATCAATAAAGAAAGTAATAACATAAATCGTATAATAAGATTTATTTTCAGGAAAATAAACCTGGCATTCGTTCACACATTGGTCCAACACACGTATACGGCACAACATCTTTCAGGAAAACTGAACCCACCGGTTTCGAATCACCCTGAAATACAAGTAGTTATGCAATAAAACAGGAAATGCTAAATGATAACAAAATTTATAGATTGAATTGATTTCGGCATTTCAAGAAATGACGTAAATTTAAGGCTCCTATAATTTTTCAAATGAAGTAATTAAATATCGAGCAGAGGTGAAAATAAGTTACGTGAAAGAACTCAAAAAATTATTAACAACCAATTATTTAATATATGAATTGATGATAACGAATTACATAATGCATTCAAATAATTATTACCAATAATTATAAAATTTCGATAATTATCGATTGTTGTAATATTCAAGCAAATTATCTGTGCTTTCATTTTTTTTAAATTTCAAAAAAGGAGGAAAAAGATTTTGTTTGAAAATAAATTATATGAAAAAAATAAAGTGACCTTTTTGTCGTACCATACGAATTCAGAATCACTGAACAATACCGCCCAACACTCTTTCCATTTTTTACTCAAAAAACCCGATTTATACCGTAATACTTCACCTTCTTTAAGTTTACGATGAAAATCGCCCATTTCTGAATCAAAAAAAGAAGAAAGTAAGAAAATGAATTTTTAATTTTAATTGAAAAAAGAGAAAACGAAAAGAAAAAAGGGTAGAAATATAATACATTTCATTTGATAAAAATTGAATTATCGTTATTTCATATTAAAAATTTTTTTTAAAAAATCTATTAATTTAAAATTATTTAACATAAAAAATGACCATAGGAATGATTAATGAATAAAAGATGATTAATGATAAAGATAATAAGAAATATAATTGAAATTAGAAGGATAAGATCGCATATTAGAACCTCTCCATCCATTCTTATTATCATTTATTTATGCCTTCCTATGGTCATTCTTATCATTCCTTAAAATGAGAAAATGATAAAAGATTGCCGAAAAACGGAAAAACTCTTTAATTCTAGAAGAATGTTAACATATGCAGGCATAACATAAATAAATAAATAAATAAAGCTATTCCTATAGTTGCCAATCGATAGGCTGTCTATTATTGTTGAGAAGTGTTGACGTTACTCCACCCATCCGATTTCACAAGGAAGGAAGGGAAGAAGGTAACTATAACCAATCGATTTTAAATTCTTCCACATAGACCAGAAAGAGCGAGATAGAGAGACATATATCGAGGTAAAATGTTGATAATCTTTCCTACAACAAATGTTACTGATAAGGAAATGAGCAATTTATTCCACTGATTGAATTCTCAACAATAAGCAACAAAAAAATGTACGGGATAGCATCATATAATAATGACAAACGGTTATGATATAACAATACGGCAAGTCACTACAACGATTTAAATAATAGTAGATCTATTTCAACTGTTAAAAATGGAAAGCAAACAGGATCGGTGAGTAGATGAATCACATAAGTCGATGATAAGGTGATACCACCAACAAAAGAATGATAACATAATTATCCTTTAGAGTTACATGGAACTGATTAGTTGTGGGAATAGGAATAACACAAAATGATGAATGAGCCGATCGATGTTTTGTGTTGAATGTGAAAGAATGTTCTCTTCTCATTATTTTTGTGCTCTTCTCTTTTTCTCTTTTTCCCCTAATTTCGAAATTTCTCAAAATTCAAGAAAAATTCGTCATTTATTTTGGTTGATAGATGATGATGACTCATCGCTCTCAGCGAACTTAATATGTATTACTTGTCATCATATTACACTAATTGGGTCTTGCTGTTATATCACACTAGCAATGAGTCGATAATGTGAATGTTATTGAAATGCATGTTGTCATTATCGTATATCGAAACATATGATATCATATGCTTTTATATGTGAAATAAAAACAATCCCTCTCTTTTCATTAACATTATTACTTTTCTCTTTTTCTCTTCGATCAAATTTCGAAATTTCATTGAAAATTCAAAAGAAAAAAATTTCGTGCTATCATGTGCATGTTATCATGCAATTGCTTACAGAACGCTGCATTTCGATAAGTACAGAACAGATTAATGTATTACGAAAGTAAAATAACGTTACTGCAACGTTGAATTGCGATTACTGCAGCGTTGAATTGCGATTACTGCAGCGTTGAATTGCGATGTTTTGCATAGGAATAGGCCATATCATAAATAATTTTAATGCTCATTTTTTTGCTGAGAAGCATAGTGATCGATCATCACAAATTACCGGAAATCAAAGTAAAAGCAAATATCAAAGTAAATTTTCTTATAACTAAACAAGTTGTTAAAAAACATAAAGTGAGCAATCCCATAATTGTTTAATATTTGGAGTAGAAAAGTTGGATAAATGGTCATCGATAATTCAAAACTTACTCACTTGAAATGTGACCTTTTCTATTCTACGCAAAAGAAACGAGTGATTTCTAGGATGAATTGTGATGTGTAATGGAAAGTAGATTGTATAAAAGAACACGCAGCTGGACCAAAAAGCTCCATCAAAATTGGTGTTGTACCAAAAAACATTTGAAAACTGTTTGGCAATGTAATATTATTGCAATTTCTGAACTTTACAAAATGATGAGATATATCAGGAAATGGAATATCTTTAGCCAACATTGGCTTATACAAAGGAAATGGCTCAATTCTTTCCAAAGACAACAATTCCTGAAAAAAATCCAGCTGTGAAGGTTTACCTCATCCATCACAATGATTTGATCTTTGCCTCATCCACCACGATGATCTGATCACTGCTTCAGGTTTCTCAAAATGGTATGATGCAAAAAAATGTTTTTCAAAAATCAAATCGATTCCTCAAATCTCGAAGGGATGAGTTTTTACACGATAAGTATAAATAAATATTTATTTTTAAAAATACGTTAACTGCCTTGTTTATTACTTCTAAACCTAATGAAGGAAATATTGCAATCACTGTATCTCTTAAACTCTAAAAAATATTTAATACCTAAGGTTACACAGCTGCACACTTAATCATAATTTCTTACATAATGACTTAAACGTTTCGAAATCTTTTCATCCATTCCATTTTTTTTTAAATCAAATTTTCGAATTAAATTTTGATACATTGGAAGATAGCTCTTATAAAAATTGTAATTTGTCTGATCTTTCCGCACCAAAATTATTCAGCAAATGATGAAAAGAAATCATCGGTTAGTATGCATAATTGTATGCAAAATTTCCGGTATTTAATTTGAAATATCCACAAAACCAATGTAAAAGTGCCAATGTAAAAATAAAAGTGTGTGAAAATCCAAGCATTAAAAACTTTTTAGCTGAAATGGGTAAGATCGTCCAAATTTGTTTACTATTAAAGGAGTAATTTTAGAGTTTTTTTAATTGTGTATTAACTGCATCGTTTCGTCTTTCTATGCTTAGATTAATTTAAAATGTATCTTACTTCTATTTCTCACTTTCATTTTCTTGCAATTCCTTTCCAACCCATAAATCGGATTTTGTATGAGTGACGTAAAATAAATTCTTTGAAATCTGGAAATCTCTCCGAAACAACTACTTAATAATGACATACAATTGAGAAAATTCATACACAACTATCTCAAAACTAATATTGAATCCAGTAATCTGTCTTCAATTGAATGAATTCACCAAAACTGTTCATTTCTCCATCGAAATGAATCGGATTCAATGCTCTAGTTGAAATTAAAGTAATGTGAGATTGTAGAATGGGTAATAAGAAGTTGTATTTCATAAAACCTGACTTCAGAATCCAACTAATTTTGCTAATCAATTTCAAATAAGCAGAGAGCATATTTATAAGATAGAAAAAATTCCATATAGGAATTTATCTTTTTGCTGCAATTGTTCCCTTCAGTTGTAATTTCTGCAGTGCAAGATAAATTAAATAAAAGTGTTTTTGAAACAAATTCAGGTAGAGAAATGATTATGAACTGTAAAATTGGCAAAATTGTGGACTGACTCATTGGTAATGCTAATTTTGTTTATTTGTTCATAAATCATTTGATTTGATTATTCCTAACTTTTTAAGCGATCAGCATCGAAGTTTTTTTTTTGTTAGCTTTCTTTTATAATCAAAGAAGCAAACGTGCACAATGATTTTAACTGATCGGTGTAATTATCATAATGATTGTCGCAACACTGACGAATTATGACACAATTTGGAACGGAAGACTTTCTGAATTGAAAGAGAATCTGATGCTTTTCTGATAAACTCTACTAATTTGATAAATTGATATTTGATTGTGAATAATATTTATGCTATTAATTCTAAAAATTGCTGATCATTTGAAATGCATAATTCCATATAATAATTAATGAAAATGTAATTAAATGTAAATGTAGTATTGTTAAAATCCCCATTTCACATGCTTAATTTACTTTTACAACAATTAATAAATGCGATTGCAATGCTCGAATTATAATGGAATGAATTGGAATTTTTGTGAAATATTTAACATTTCTTTAATTTCAATGAAAAATACATCGAAATAAATCGAAATTAATGCGTCATTATGTTCGGAAATGACGCTTTTTTGCGCTTTCTATCACTTTTGTCCCTCTATGCTTTCACTATCATAAATTCTAATGATTGATGATCAAATGATTAACAAGAATAAATGAATCATTTTTCATACAGATATTTTAAAAAGAATTACTCATTAATTGTAATCATCAAACCATTTGATAACGATAACAACAGCAATAACAATAGCAACATCAACAATAATAACACTCTTAGTAATAAACAAAAATAAAGTGTAATAAATCTGATGTGATATTTGCTTAAAAAATATGTATAAACATTTATTAATGATAGAATAGTAAAAAATACGTAGAACAAATTTAAATTCAAGAACGCTCTTAGTAATAAACAAAAATAAAGTGTAATAAATCTGATGTGATATTAGTTTAAAAGATATATATATATATATATAAATATTTATTAATGAGAGAATAGTGAAAAATACGTAGAACGAATTTAAATTTAATATTCTTCTCATTGTTTGATCGATGATTTAATATCTTTAAAGGTTACTGTTTTTGTATTCCTCAATATTTTTTGTAATGCTTCTCGACGATCAGCAACATATCGATGTGTCAAGACAAGAAGATATAAATTTGTCCTGTAATACAAAACTATAAATAGGTGATATGGATTAGCAAACGTCTGATTATTTATATAACAATGAAAAATTGAAAAGTTTCAAGAAAAATTATTAGGCGAAATGGAAAACATATATTGTTCATAAAGTAAGTTTTATTCTTCACTTTGAAATTTCGAGTTATGAACGAAATTTTCTGCTTTTTCGATTTTTACTGTTTCAAAATTGAAATTCATAAATGACTAACAAAGTAAAGATAAAGAAAAAGGAAGCGATAAGCGGTGCTATCCAAATGATTGTTGATCCGATGAAATTCATTACTATAATAAAGAGTAAACTAAATGTATAAAATCCCACTGATATGATGAGCACTACAAGTTGTGGATATAGCATTTCTGGTCGAATAAACTGAAATGTTTCGATAAATGGATGATAAGATGAATTATAGTATTATTAGGTTATCCAATTTTACTTCAAATCAAATCTTATTGCATTAAATGTTTGAAGATAGGCCCTGATAATATCGTCAGACTAATCGGTCCTTCTCCAATCTGTTATGTCGATCTTATCATTTCATTAAATATTTGAAAAAAGATGTCATATGTTAAAAAAATTCTACATATACAAAACAGAAAAAAATTCATACCTAAATTATAAAAAAATTTATGCCTAAATTATATAATCCAAAGAATACATCTATTATCATTAGAAAAATATAATATTCGAAATTTTGAGATGACATAGAGAATAATTCTGAATTTATTTTGGACCTATTATTGAGATTAATTCTAGGCTATATATCGATAAAATTAATTGTATTATGATAAAATGATCGAAATAGAAAATAAGTTTACTTGTGTAGCTAAAATGCTGGTAATAATAGTAATTATATGAATAATATGAAAACCAATCCATAAAGCAATAGCTATTCTATAAAGTAATAGGTAATTGCTTGCTCTCGTTCGTGCATAATGCTGAAAAAAGGTTTAATTTTTTTTTGCTTAATATTAAGCATCAAAATATACGTGAAGTTAAAAATAAGATGAGTTCAGGTATAAAACATACTTCAAAAAATTGCTTATATAATGGTGTTTTACGATGAAGATTTGAATTGATTAATAGAACAACACCAATTGCAATGGCTGCTATAGCAATAAGTAGAGTAAGCGGTTCATGACAGAGAAATAGTTTCTACAATTATTTTTATTATTATCTAAAATTAATTACTTTTTCTTGTTAATCAAAAATAAAAGTATATTTGATAAAATCAGATATATTTATATATGAATATGTATCGGTAAGTGGATAATATAGTTATTAACAAAATACATGGAATTGTTGGAAGTATTATCGTGTTAAATTTAACAAAGGGCCAAATTAATATATCGAAATATTATAGTTAAACGAACCTCTTGTAAATATATATAAAGTTATTATGTGCATTAAAATTATATGTGTATATTTATTTACATTTATATTTATTTATTTATTTGAATTTATATATATAAATGAAATTCATTAAATATAATGAAAACTGTATATATATGAAATTTTTTATATAAATTTATTGTTAAAATTATATTTATATATAATTATATGTATTAAAATTATGCATATATTTACACTTACAATTTATTTAAATTGTATGTACATTTATTATTAAATTAATTACGATAAAATGACAAACCTGTACATGAATTCCACAACGTCGATGATAATCAGCATCGGTGAAATGAGCTGGTAGTACGGTGAAACTACACATTGCTCAAAATAACACTTAACGAAGAAATTGAAGAAGCGTGGTAGTGAAAGCTAATATTTCAATCTTTCTGAACAACTGTTTCATATTTAAACTGCTTCGGAATGCTTCTTCGAAAAAGTTATTTTAATCAATAAATCAATAACAGGAAAAGAGATAGTGATACGGTTATTATCGGAACTCTGAGATAACCTTATATGAAACAATTTGGTGCATTTAAACGATCGAAGTACTTGCATTCTAGAAAATTTTTCCAAATTTATTCTTTTAGAACCACTATCGAGATTACTCATGAATGTCTGAAATGTTAAGCTAAACTTTTGTTTATTTTACTTGCTTTGTCTCTTAAGGATATAATAAGCTAATTTGTTCACCAATATTTGCAAATCTTAAGTACCCTTTAATCACAGAGCGATCTTCGTCTCAATGGCTCTGCTTGATAAAATGATTACATGCAAGAACGATATGGTCGTTGGGTTATCATCACCTCATCCATGCATGTTGAAATGATCCTTTCATTGCTATTAGTTTTTTCTATCAAATGGTATTGGCATCACTCTCGTCATATTATGACCTTGTCCATTTTATAGTACTCGCTAAACGCTACCGAACTCGAAAGTAATATATAGCTGCTAATTAGTCTCAAATTATCTTCATGAATTTACGACAGACGAGGAATAATCACGAGATCACCTCTATTACTAAATTGCTGATAATTGTATTATAATGTCAAAAATAAAACCTCTCAAAATCAACTAACCCTTCAATATACTTCGATTGTGTCAAATCCAAACTTCTTAAATTCTCAACTAAAGGGATCGATTTAACAATAAGATAAATGATGCAACAAACATAAGCATTTTTCATTGTATGAATACAAATTTTTCAAATTTTTACAATCTAACTAATGCTATAACTAACCAAATTTAATCAATCTGACTTTAAAGAAATTGTGCAAATCTAAACTTTCTTGCAAAAATTTCACAATATTTGTTAAATTGCAAAAATTAGAAAAATTTCATACAATAACAAATGCTTATCTTTATTGCATCATTTCTTATCAAATCGATTCTATTAGTTGAAGAATAAAGAAGTTGTGCATCTGAAGTTTATCGAAGAAGATATAAAAAGCGAATTATAAGAAAAAAGCTCGATTTAGAGTGATATATAATTAAAGACAGCTTGAGCAAAACATATTGAAGAAAAATTAAGTTGCAGAAAATGTTATCATTTTTGAAGAGTTAAAAGAGTTAAATGTACACTCGCTGAAAAGTTAAACCAAAATGATTTCATTGCATTATCATAATTTATAACCAGAAATAATAGGAAGAATGGTACTTTACTAGATCGAAAAAAGTGAAAAAGTTTGTTAATATATTATATTTGATAAGCTATATATTTTCTTACTTTCAGAAAATATTTTAATTATCAGAGCATGGGTAAATTTGAAAAAGCCTGCCATAATGATAATGTGGGATAAGAACTTTACCCCATTCTATGTAATATTGTTATATTGTTAATGATAAGTTCAAGAATTAAAAGGAAGAATATACGATATCTTATATCATCCTTTCATTGATTGAATAAATAATATATACCAATTATAAGTACAAGTGAAAAAAATATTCTTAATAGTATGAATAATAATATACAAATAAGGAAAGTGTGATAAAAGGTTGATTAGAAAAAATAGTAGTCATTAAATATATTATTATAACAATTTGATAGAAATAGAAGCATTTATCGAAAATTTCCTAATTTTAAAAATTGTTCCATTCATTTTCTTTTTTTGTCTTTTTCAACTAACATTATTAATTAAGAATTTAGAATTAATTGATTTGTCCAATTATTGCATATGGATTTTAATTTAAATTCAGTAAAATTTTACAAAAAAAGCTTATATACATATGAGTAAGGAATATGGCAGTTAAGAATGATTGTTATTAATACAAACAAAGGCATAATGGAAACATTCATATATCAAATCCTTTTAATCAATGATTTAATTATTCTTATCAATCCATATTTTATTAATTGATTATTTAAGTGAAATTTACTATTTATCTTATCCATTTTTAACTAATAATTTTTATGCAAATTTATATCAAGTACGAGAATCTTCATCGTCAAAAATTTCCAAAATGTGTCTTTTTTTTGTTTCGTAAGATTCACATATGATAAATATTATATGGTACTTTCACAATTTCAAAATTAATTTTGGTAGATGTAATATGGAAAATGTCAATGGTAGTAACCGTTAATGTTGTCAATAACGGAATATCGCTTGTTAGTTATCTTGGAAAAACGATCCATAAAATTATTATTCATTTCAGTAAACAGCCATAATTTCATCTGACAACATCAACAAAAATTTTCGAATCGTTCCTGCATGATTTGATTTCTTCTTTACGGCAATTTCCATTTCAACTTCATTTGTACCGGTAAAAGTAGCATTTGTAGTGAAAAGTTGTTCGGAGTTCATTTGACTATGCACATGTTTAAAGTTGTTTTCTGTTGCGTTGTTTTCCACAATATCAGCAATTGTATCTTTTACTTTCATCATATTCGTTGGATTTAAATATTTGTCTGTTTCGGTTTCCACTTTTGGATCTACGTCAGGTTTCCTAGCAAAACGAACAGTTTGTTTATGAGCAATTTGTGGTAGATTTCTAGTCACGCATGAATCCGATACTATGGTATCCGGAATGGACAAAAATGAGGTTTTCTGAAATATTATCACAATCTTATTTGCGGTAAGATGGAGAAAGAAAAAGAAATGCGAAAATCTGATTTTTCGAATTCTAATTTTGCGAAAAGCATTTCTTTTTGCTCAAAATTTTGATATTCATTTGATCAATTCCTGCAGAGAAGATAAAATCTTATTAACAATTATCACTGATGAATATTTGTTAACGAATAACATTTATACTGACGCTCAATTTGTTACGGCTAAAACTGCTTCGTGAAGTTTCAATACTGCTTTTCGAGAAAAAGCTGGAACGGGTAGAACAAGTAGATTTACGTCTCTGATAAAATAAATCGATCACATGATTTTCCAACTGTACTGCCTGGAAAAAAGTAAATCGGTAATCAGTTTTTAACTGATGAAGTAAATGAATTATAATAATTGAAACACAAACTACTAATCATTTTTGACGAAATTACTAGTCACATGTATTTAAACCATGAAATAAATTTTTCAAAATATACCTCTATAACATGAATAGATATTTATGGAAGAAATATAAATCAAAGAGCTCCAATTAATTACTATCATTTGTCATGCTAATTAACTATAATCATTTATCACTCTAATTTTCTCTCTTTGGATAAACTTTATTCGTTTCACGTCATTCTAACTTTTCCTTTTCAAAATTGAAATTTATTCATCTTCAAGTAAAAAATTCTTTTTCATCTCATTCAAACAATAAGAGCTACAGAGTGTTACAAATACTTTATAAGTCAATCATTAATTCATTATGATAAAATTTATTTTAATACATGTATTGATAGAATTCAGTACAAAAAAATTACAGATCTTTATTAAGCATATTGCTATCATAGAATAGATATGATAATAAACTATACCTTATCAATAGATCGTGCATATTCAATCTCATCTAGTACTTCAAAGTTGAAATTATCATTATCATCTAGTAAGTTACGGAATAATATCACTGTTTCATCATCCTATAAGAATTTCCATTAGTTTAATGTATTATCTGATCAAACAATAACAACAACATTAATCTATTAACAATGAAGAAAATTATTTGCAACAAATTTCTTAGCGATATTAAACATATTCCAATTGGCTTTATCATTTTTCGGACAATTCATCATTTCCATCTAAATTCAATTTTGCTTTCCTTCGTTTATGTTTTTCATTAATAAAAATTAAATTGATTTATATACACTCTAAATATTGACAGATTTAGCAATTCATTCGTTAAAACAATTAAATTTTGAGGTTCTATTTAATGCTGAAATGTTTTCAAACTAACAAAATTTTTTGATACCAGAATTTAGCATGGATTTTTTTAGATTCAGATGCAACTTACAGATATATCGTTGAAAAGGACGCATAACATGGCTAAATCATAAAGAATACGAAGTCTAGTTGGATGAGTTGGTCGTCGCCAAATACGACGACCCATCAGAAATATTTCGGCATATTCACGCTTAACATCAACCCATATACGCTTCTTCTCTTCTTTATCAATAATTGATGGAGCTAATCGATAATAGCAAGTGTAAATTGCAGATGCATACCTGAAATAGGTGTTTAGAATAATTTAATTGTAATAATTGATATTTAGATATGAATGAATAATACGAACCATGCAAGGCAACAATATTTTTTGGTAATATTGCTAAGTCGTCGAAGCCATTCCAGACAAATTTCTCGCTTCTCATCTATATCATAGTGATCAAAATTTCCATGTTGAAATTTTAATAAATCATTGGTTGACCAATTATCACCCTTAAAATAACCGACAACATAAACAATTACTTAAATTTATTTTATGTATGAAATGAATTTAATTTTCATAATGTTCAATATTCAATGCTTTTTCATATAAACTATTTTAAAGTCTCACTTAGTCTATTATTTACTATTAAACATTAACTTCTATTAATAATAAAGTAATACGACAAATTTTTTTTTGATTTTAATTCTATTTAATCGTAATGAAGAAATTATAATAAGAAGAACTGTGAGTTAAATTGATGGTTTTAAGAAAGGAAATGATATTTTATATATGTATAAATAAAGGAATGAATTGGATCACTGAATCAAGTTAACATCACGGATTAGAGACCTAACATGATTTGGAAGAAAATCCATTACTAAACAATATTATACAGATACCGGTAACTTACTTTCCGCTTCATTCTTTCTAATTCCTTTGCCGTCTTCCCACCTAATTTCGAAAACAATTGTCCGACTGATTTATCTAAAACATGTTTACTCTTTTTTTATCAAAATTATCTATTAATTTATTATTACTTCTTTTACCATATTTGTCCTACCGTGATACATTTTGCAAAATACCGCATCGTATATATTGTTGTTCCAGAAAAAATTATGATATCATTTACTGTTAAATAAATTGATTCAAATATTTTTTTTTTTTAATGATAATTATTTTTTTATCTTACATGAAATTTTCTCATCTCAGTTTTATTATTGTTTTCGATGATTTTTATCGATCACAAAATTCCTGCAACTCTTACATTTTCTATTTCGATCTTTTCTAATAATATTACTGTAATTATTAATCGTATCAATAGTTTTGAAGTTTATTTAAATATGCTTTATTTAAATATATAAGAGTAATAATTAATTGGAATTTATAAATAAACCTGAATCAGATGATTTTATCTTTGAGCGGCAAATTTTCTTAGCTTCAGGTACTATACACAATAATGGAGAGCATAAACATTGTTTCATTGAAATTTCATATTTCTAAAATTATCATAATATAGCTTATATGAAAGATAAATATGATAAATAAGATGATAATATTTTCGATTTTGTGTTTTATTGCATAAACGTGTATACATCAAATAAATGAAATTATCTTATAATCTAATATTTTAATTAATTTTTTGTCTTAAGAAAATTCTGCTCGTAGTAAAATGTATAATTATCTTAAAAACAAATGTTTTTTATATAAGAAAAAAAGAGAGAGAGGAAGGGAGAGAGAGGGAGAGAGCATATAATAAAAAAATAAACTAACACGTAATTTATGGAATCGATGGAAGTATATTCCACAAAATTTACAACGAGCTTTCTTCCAACCTCTCGTAAATATCTTACGAAAAGTACGAATTTTATTAGTATAATGAGTGGAATTCATCAATCTAAAATTATATCACTTTCATTATTAAATTTTTATATGAAATCATAACAACGTGATCAGTTTGTGAGAGAGAAAGATATAGGGAAAGAAAGGGAGAGAAAGAAAAAAAGGAAAAAATTCGTCATTTCCGATAAATTACTTTATTATCCTGTTAATAATTTGTATTATGATCATTACAGAAATGCTATTAATAAATCATATATTAATTCAATTTTTTATTCAAGAAAGAAAAATGCAAAAAGTCTAACATATTTGGAAGCTCCAATTCAAATATAAATGATAATAATAAAGAAGGAAAGGAGAAGATAGCATATGTTGCCCTACGATGTAATATTATCCGATACGATGAGCATAACACAACACCACTAACTGCTTCATCTCGATCTAAAACTCTACTAAAGTTTACTAAAAAGGTTGGAGAGAGAAAAATAAATTTTGAATATGAGAAATGAAAGGATTGAATCAATTAAGATGTAAAATTGATCAGAGCTCCTTGGCAATTATGAAATATCATTGTTTTTGAACTTTTTAGTATGTCAAATAAATCAATCAAAAATCTACAACTTATTAGAACAATGAAGAAAGGATGAAAAAGAAGTCAGTTTATTTCTGGTATCATATAAATCAACAAATAAAAACAAAAGAAAAAAATTAAACAAATTTAAACTTATAAACAGAAAGAAAAAAAGATTGAAAAATAAGAAGTGCGTAAGTATGATGTAAATGATGGAAGAGAACTGAGAAATGCTTAAATATGATGTTAATGATGTAAGAGAACTAAGGGTGAATTAACAGTATTGCATTAATGATTAATTTAAACTAGTTTAAACTGCAGTATACTTATAGATAGAAAAAAATTGCAATATTACGTAATATCATGATAATGATTTTAAGGACTATCCCAGAAAAGGCGTGGGTTGATTGTGCTTGATGATGCAATGATTAAGTAAAATGAGCGTGATAAAGTAAAGGTGATAATCATCTTTATGTGACATTTTCCTCACCGTTTTTTTTTACATTTTCTGAAATAAATTAACAAAATGATAAATTAGTAAAATTGAAGAAACCTTAGAGCTGTTAGCCTTAGAGCTATTATTGTTGGATGGACAACGTGAAAATAGGATACTAATCTAATTAAAATAGCTTCAATTAAGTTACGGATAATGTTGCTTGTCAATAGTTTAACAAAAAAGGAGCGAAAGAGTGGAATAAGAGAACAGATCAAGCATGATGTCATTAGAAATTTTGGTCACAGTGGTCTTTATATGGACATTTTTTATAAATGATGATATTTGGCGTTTTATGATCCAATATCTTTGGCAAAAAATATGATGATCCAGTGAAAAATAAACTAGGATCATAGGATTTATGTAACATTGTTCATTCAGCTGCTATTACTCGAAACTTAATGAATGATTTAAGCCAAGCTATTTGATTAACAATTGTTTATATTATTATTTGAATAACAACTTAAGCCAAGTTATTATTTGAGTTAAAAGGAAAATATAAATTTTAAAGTTGTTGTTATTAAATCACTTTTATTTCAGCATAAATTGAGTTAATCAATGATTTCATTATTGATACCATAATTTTTAGCGCAATGATTTAGGTGGAAATATTTCTTGTCGAGCAATAGAACGAGCGATAAACAACCAAAGAATACCTTGCAGTTAAATTAATTCAAGTTGAATTTTCCACAATCTATACAATAATTTTACTGAACAATATGCTTATTATTACGAGCTAAATAATGATCCGTGAAACAATCCATCTGCTGATCAAAACAAAGAGAAATAATCTGTTCGATGATCATGTATGAAATTCTTCGTTTGAGGACGTGATAAAATATTTATCAGTGATACATAATTATCATATTATATATAATTATAATATCAGTAATACATTTACATAATATTGAACAAGAAACTGGAAGAATCATATCAACTAAAATGATTAATGAACAGTAAAAAAAGGAACGATGGTGTAATTTGGTTGAAGTGTATATATATGTTCAACACTTTACCAAGAACGAAGTTAATAAGACCAAAACAGCTGCAAGGAAAGAAATAAAACTACTGAACTATAAATCCATGAAGGACAACAGCTTACGTCTTCCCTTCTCTTTCTCTTCTTACTCATTTCTTTTTAAGAAAAAGAAAAAGAAGAAAGTGTTGAATAGTAAAGTTGCTTTGGATAGGCTCTAAAAATTGTTCGATCATATCCACTAATCATTCGGAATGATAGGTGAATGGATGAATAGATAGTGTCGGATTTAACTTTATAAATCAAAGTTCCCTTCGTGAAATTTCACTTCTATGACGCCAATGGATAGGAAAGAGAAAGGATGGAAAGAAAAAATAAGACAACCACTTTGTTTTTCTAAATTTAACTCGAACAGCTGTTACCTGCCTTACCTGTGGGAAAAAAAAAGAGAAAACAAAAGCAAAAAATAATATTACAATGTTTATGCTGTCTTATCAAAACTTTCTATTTCATTTTCCGCTTTTTTTTCAATTCTCCTTTTTCCTCTCTTTCATATTATAAACATTATAAATTATAAATTATAAATATAAATATAAATACTCAAACATTATAAATTTTATTCAGTATAAACTAAAACTATTATTTTTGGTATAATTGGTTTAAAATATGATCATTTCAAGAATCATTATCATTTCAAAAATGCAATTTGTTCATTGGCAAATTATCGCTTCAAAGGCACTATTTGAAAGATTTGAAAGATTATAAAGCAATTTATCATTTCGTAAAATACTATTTGAAAGGTTGTTACTTCAAGAAGTATAATTTAAAAAAAAAAAACCATTTCAGGTTTCCTCAAATGTCCCGGGAGCATTTTGCTTGCTTAATAGTTAACTTTTATTTAGCATAGCAGAAGATTAAATTTTGGAATAAGTGAAAAGATGAAGAAATCCATTACCTTCCCAAATGGATAAAGTCTTTTAAAAAATCGTTTCAGGCTTTCTCAAATATCCCAAGACGGAAACTGAAGTTAATAAATTATTCATAGATGGATTTAGTATAGGCTCAAACTTCTGGGCTCAAGGAAAGAATTTATTAGCCACAGCTTGAAAGGTTGCTTTATGATCTTTGCAAAAGTCTCCAACATCACAGACATTTGAATTGGAATTTTTTTGATGGTATTATTGGAATATTCCATTATATTCAGAAACCGGATTCAGAATATACCTAAAGCCTTGAGCAATTCTATTACTTAACATATACCAGAATATTGAGATAATCTGGGATTTTACTGAGATTTTAAAATTTAAAACCGTCAACTAGCCGTAAAATACCACTTACGTTCCCCTTTTTCTTCTGAATTGAAAGACATCCCCGAGACTTGGGTAGTTGCCGGAATTATTTCTTGGCTATGCGGATGTGGCTGAGTTCTTTGATTTAATATTTAGGTAGAGTGGGAGTTATTACAAGACATCGTTTAAATTTTAGAAACTAAGAGATTAATCAGAGCTAATATTTAGTTGACACTGCTAGCTTTTCCTCTATGAAGTCCCATTTCGTAGTTTAAAGTGAAGTTTTTGTATGATTAAACACTATATCTCTGTGGATGTTTCTTAATCACAATCTTCACTAAAGCAGAAGCAAGCTTTTAAAATAGACTCTATCCTTTATAATATCCGTTGCACATGAAAATTCATGGATGAAAGCTAGATGGCGATGGAAGCGAAATGAAATATTTCCTATGCTAAGAATCAAACTGCGCAATAACTAATACTAACCGCATCATCTTTTTTTAGAACTAATTTTTCAGAAATCGGACTAACTATGGAGGGTATGCCACGTGTACCGATGCTCACGCCAGATTTAAAATTTTACTTGACATCGTTGCCTACCAGTTTTTCGTCACAAATTAAAGAAGTTAGTTCCTTCTTTTTATTTTGTATAAAGGTTTGCTAATATTATGAATACTCATCCAGTTGAAGCATATTTTTTGGGTTTTTCATATCTTGAGTATTTTCCATAATTTTATTTTGCCATATTTGATTATTTCATGTACTAATGTTAATATTCGATGATGGTATACATGTCCTTTTTATATTCCTTTTAGTATTTCTAGTTGATTCACTTCATTATTTTTGGTCAGTATACTTTTTTTTAGTACAAGCAGATGATGCAGAAAAAAATTTTGGCATTTCCAGCTAATAGATGCGTGCGTTTCATCATGTCTAATCGATACGTTTGATATACTTATTTATTTCAGTATATTCTATTGCACTATCAGGATGATCCAATGAAATATGACAGTGCTATTTGTGAAATCGAAAATATGCGTTCGGTAACTTTCTTCATCATTTTTTATCATTTTTTATCATTTTTTATAGATGGCGGGGCTTGGACATATCTTAGCAAAGATATTGATGTGGATCTAAATAATTTCCGTGACAGTAGCATCAGTAACAAACTAAATTCAGGTACTTCTGCTTATGCTTTGCTCTCCATTGGCACTACTAATTTGGACAAATATAAATTTGCACCATTGTCATTGCTAGGATGTATTTTCACTTGATAATCATCGAACATTTGGACTATAATTTTCCAGAAATTGAGTCGACTTTCGCCCGATTCAGAAACCTTGAGCACATTGAAGCGATATTACGCACAGTTATGCTTGATGAAGAATAGATTTCCAATGGAAAAAGGGGATACTATCAAAATAGCCTTCTCCTGGTATTATTCCCTTTTTTTCTTATCCTTGTTCATTAGTTTGGAGCTATGATTCGTAGGACTATTGTAAATGCAGACAGTGATATAAGTGATTGTCTCAAATAACTATTGGTATAGATGCCGCTTTTACTACGATTACTAAATAATAGATAGCTCTGCTATAAAATATATTGATAATGCGCGGCTAATCTTTAGTAGTACAGACTGTTCTGTTTAAAAGCGGAAGAGTTACTCATAAATCACTAGTTTGTATTGAATTGTGTACTTCACCTTATGATTATTATTACTGCTAGTGGTAGTGCCAATTATATATATATTATGAATGTACGTACGATAAACGAAGATATAAATTATAGGATGGATAAGAGTAGTGAGACGTCAAACGCAGCTGTCTTCGAAGACATCAATTATGAACTTGTTTGTGTGATGTATAATATTGGCGCCGTACATGGAGCGATTGCTGCTAATGAACCGCGCACTGATCTGGACGTTGGCCTTTCACTTTTTAAGAAGAATCAGAGATCGTTAATGTATTAAAAATACCATTACGAGTTATTTTAAGGATATAAACTTTTTCTGTTCTCTTGCTGCAACATTTATTCGAATATTTCGAAAATAGATTTGTTTTAGTCAATTAAAAATGCTTTCACGCATTTCCAATGTGCCGCATATCCTTTTGAACAAATAAGAGACTCGATGAATGCTATTAAGTATTCTGCAGTCGATTTTGACCCTTCTGTTCTGACGTTTTATGTGACTATGTTACTGGTAAGCTTATTATTATTCATGCTGTTAAGAATATTTTTTTCAATCATTTCTTTACTTATCAAAGCGCATAGAAACGCTAGTTCGTTCCGTAGATCGTCTTATTTTCTACTAAGAATGACTCTTCATTAAACTTAGCTGAATTTGTAGGCGCAGGCGCAAGAATGTTTATTGGAAAAGAGTATCATTGATCATCGGAAGAATACGGTGATAGCAAAGCTAGCAATACATCTGAGAGATGTATATATACAATGTCGTGAACATTTCGATTTCACTGGCTTGAGCGATGTACTCTCTTCGAAGTGTAAAGTAAGCAACATTTTTCATATTTTCTCTTTTTTTATCTCCCGTACTCCAGTATTATTTACAATTTTACAGGAATGGTTGAGAACATGCACTGTAAAATCGGAAATGTACGGGGCTATTGCAATGCTCCATCTTGGATTACAGGCAGAAGATGATAACAGGATGGGCTTTAGGTTCGTTTACTTTTATAGGACAGCTGTAATGATATGACAGTTATTGGGTGTCCAGTACTTATTGGATTTTTAACAATTATTGCTCCTAGAGTTTCATATTTCGACTTTGCATTGGAACATGTGACTGCGGCTATGAAACAAGTGGAAAAAGATAAGCGAGAAAGTTTGAAGGAAGCTGTCGTTTTCTTGAATGATATCATCCTTGGAAAGTTAGTCTTATTTCATTCATTTAATAGGGGATCTGTTATTTCATTTCGTTTATTAATTTCATTTAATAGAACGTCCAGACGTCACTACCAACCTCAATGAATATTATAATTTCTCCTGCAAGCATTTGTTGCATGCATTGCTGAGATACTGTTTCAAAATTATCCTCCGATGTGGAAAGTGGTATAGAAGTTTATATAATTATATTTTAGACAACGAAATGCAAAGAAAGAAAACGATTTTATTAAAGAAAGAGAAAATGATTTTAGATTATTTCAAACTTATCCTCCGGCAGAGCCCTTCTTATAAAGAGGGTAGTTCTGAAATAATTATGAAATGCATTATCTACATGTGGAAAATGAAATAGTAGTTTATAAATTATATTTTAGACAACGAAATGCGAAGAAAGAAAACGATTTTATTTATCATGACCGAATGCCGAAACCAGAAGAATTAGCGGTTGTGGAGGTTGAGTTTATTGATGCGCTTTTTTTATTACTAGGCACAATATCTTTCAAATATAAATATGTTTATAAATATGGTGAGATATCAGAATTAAGTTTTAGAAGATTGAATAATTTACTGTTTGCCGTGTATCCTTTGTAATGCACTGGAAGACATGCAACTGTAGTATCTCTGCGATGGATGAACCGAAAATTTCAAGAAGTTTGTTGATTTTCCGGAAAATTTTTTGGCTTTTTAACGTTAGAGTACATTATGCAGGGTGTCAATATGGTAAAGACAGTTGGGTTCGATCCAACAGACAAATCGATCTCTGGCCCCGATCTTTTCGCTACATTGCTACCGGGAAATGTACTCAAGTCACTTTCTGTTTATAGTGAAGAAAAAGCAAAGTTCAAACGTGCACTGCTAGAAGAAGTTGAAGAAAAGAATAAGGAATTAGAGTAAGCATATTCTGGTAAATTGCTTTTTCTTTGAAAAGGAAGTTGGTAGTTTGTGCATATTCTAACAGTTGATCAAGTATCGTCAAGTAGCTTCCTGTTAAATGCTTGCTCCTCGACAATATCGTCAGATAATAATACTTCGATTATCGTGATCGATTAGGGAAATGTGTTTTATATTTAGCGTATGCATTTTTCCAGTTGTATATCGTGTAAAAATTTTATATTGATCTGCTTCGTCTTTTGTGACTGAGACAAATCAAACATTACTGTCATTCGGATATATCATAGATGAATATAGCATTTATTGCACTCCTCTGTATTCTAACAATATCATCTATTTTCAGAGATTATATTAGATCTTTGCAACTGGAAGAAATTGATTTTGATGAGTCAAAAATAGAAGAACTTCCAGAAATGTTGTTAGAAAGAAGTGCTGCGTTTAACTCACAACCAGATGCTTTTCCCGAACTACTGGACAAATTACATCGTACTTTTTTTGTTCATACGTAGCACAGCAAATTTTTCTATTGATAGGAATGGAACATAGATTTCTATCAATAAACAATAACACATTCCAGGAGTCGGAGATTGTGCAATAGAAGCGGATCACAAAATTAGCAATTTACGTAATAGGCTGGATGCTATTAACTCCCTTCAGCTGGTTATGTTTTAATAATTGTAGAGTAAATTCCTCCTAGAAAATTTTTTTCTGACGTGTCATGGCCTGAATTCGGAAGATATCGATGGCATTTCTTGTCAGTTCTAATCGAAATGTTTTTTGAAAGTAACACAGTTAATAACACGGTAACACAGTTAGTTTCATGTATGTATGACATTTGCATATCATTACAGAGAGCTGACGAAGGATTCATTGCTATCATGAAAGAACTTAACCGTATCAATGACCACCATACGAAAGCACGGTAAATGCACCTTAAAATTTCGAATTTTTAATTTTAATTAAAATTTCTGAAATCTACTATGATTTAAAGGACAAACAATACAGAGCTGCAACGTGCATTAGCTGCACATTCAGAAAGTCTAAAAATTCTGGCGATGCCTTTGAACGAATTACGCAAACGACTAACTGAAACTCATACGAGACCAGGTATTCCATTTTTTTTTTCTTAATTTATGCAAAGATTAAAATATTACTTTACAGCAGATAGCAAGGAAGGACTGCTACTGAAGAAAATGTTGGATAAGGCAAATGAAATGAGCACGCAACGATGTTCTCTACTTTCGAAATTAAATGAAAATTTGCTAAATGATGACATTACGGCAAAATGTCTAGCAGAGAAGAATGAAGATAACTCGGTTAGTGAATTTATGATTAAGTTCATCTGTTGAGGAATGTTACGATTAATAAATCAAAAAATCAATGCTTATGATTTACAGGGATTGTATGAAAACGAACTAAAAAAGCATGAAGAGATTGCTACTCTCATTCATATGAATCTTGCTGCACAACATAATATACTCAGTGCACTAACTGATGCGAATGCGAGTTTTGGTGATTATCGTAAAAAGATTATTGATCAAAATAAGAGGCAAGTTTTTCTACAAATATTCTATGAATATCTTATGAAATACTTCCACATCATAGCTCCTTCGCTCATTGTTGTCGGCATTCTGATGTTATCTGTTTTCGGTATGTCGAGAACGTATGATCACCATTTCAGTCATATGGACCAGGTACTTGCCCTGACTGCGGCTTATGATGTATACATTGATGTTTCACAGAAGACAGATGAAGGCTTAAAATTCTATTCAACGTTATTTTCAATGGTGAAAAATTTGGGAGAGGCTGTTGAAGCAATCGAAACTGCTTGTGAGTTTTGCTTCAGCTAATGCCAATACAAAATTGCAATTGCAGAATTAAAGAAATGTTATCCGAATAATTGTGTTGAACCAATTATAGTTTACATATTGCAGTTGAAGAAGAAAAGAAAGAAAAGGAAAAAGAAATGCTGCGAGGATTGGAAGAGCATGCAAGTTCTAATGCGAAATGGATCGTTTCTACAGAAAATGTTAAGAAGGACGAAGAGTCAATTTTAGTAAGGCCCGATGTGAGGAATGAAAGTACGCCAGGAATAGGTTAGTGACTTTCACTACCTTCTTTGTCTTTCTTTGAAGAAATATCTAAGACTTAAATTCTGTCTTGTCGGAAATGTTTGAAGTTTTCATTAGTTGATCTTACCTGTTCTTACATGAGAAATTAATATTTGATTTCAGGTTATAATGGACTAAGATTGAAAGATTGTTTGGAATACTACCGAACTAACATTGCTGGAGGAACAATGAGTAGCCAACCAACATGTCTCCCCTATAGCACACAACAGTCTCATCCGACTGACATGCCATCTGTACCGCACAAAGATATACCGCCCCACCAACCCGTATCCACTTCTAATAGTGTTCAGTTTTCTGAATATCAAAATTCAGCACCATTGCAGTGTCATTTCGCAACTATATCTAATCAGCCTGTACTAAATACATCATTGAGTAGTAGCACAAAAGAGATCCAGCAACCATATATGTTTTCTAGTAATGTAGTACTACTGCCGCATTCATTGCAGATATCAAGACCCTTAGGTCCTCAATCACAAATCATGGTACCTTTAGCACGTCAACAATCCGTAATCCCACCGCATCATTTTTTAGCAGACCAGCGTTATTCAACCTTTCCAAATCAAGATATAAGTGCGACTGTTAATACCCAGCGGGTTAACACTTTCCTCTCATCACCTACCACCCTCACTCACAGTATTCCTCAATCAATTTCGGCTGCAGTTACAGCAGATTCGGTTAGAGGACCGACAGTGGCAACACCGCAAAATGTTGCTACTTCAGCCACTCAGCCGATATCAACTCATTCGAATAGTGCACTTAATGTTTCTTGTGCATCGAAACCAATGTCATTGGATCAACCAGCTTTAACAGGACGATCAGTAGCAAGATTGACTACCACTGAAGTCGAGAAGCCAGTTGATGGAAATATCTTACATCCCCAGTTCTATGCTTCTCCCTTTGCACTAAATAAGATGTACTCCGATTTTACTCGAAGTACGGCACCAACTAATACCATATCGACGTTAGGCAAGCCAACCGTGGTCCCTGCTCATCATCTTATTGTTAGTTTTCCTGTATTATTTTTCGTTAGTATTGATTGTATTGGAAAATCGTTGGATTTAAGTTATCGCATTTCTTTTAGTGTTCCCGTGATAGCACATTTCAAGCAGCAATGTCACCTTGGCATCAACCTCTCAGGGACATTAATAACGTGAGTGGATTATCGGTTGTTGGCAATACAGTGAGTCTTTTTGTCGATTTCGCATTATTTCATAGAAATTCCTCATGGAAGAAAACCATCGGTAATCATCTATTTCAAATAATGACGTAATCTCATGTTAAAGTAAAAATTGCTTCAAAATGTATAAGAGGACAATTATATGAAAGTCAGAATGTGGAATATAAATTGTAAATGAACAGAGCATATCTTTCTGATTCTTTTCTAGAAAACAGCATGCACTTCAGCACCAACTACAGGTTTTCAGCCATTTGTTCCAGATAAGCAAGCTACGTCAGCAAGAAGCACTCCAGTTGTGGTATCTCATCATTTAGATCTTCATTAATTCACCTTTTATTAAATCAAAGTCTTGCAGAAAAATTGAAACTGTGATTTGTCCAAGAATGATAGTAAAGATAATTTCTCGAATAGAAATGTTTAATAATAATTGTATTTCAGGATATTATGAATGCTCCTTTAGATGTAGTGTTACCAACACCTTTAACTCCCACGCATGTAACCAATGAAGTTGAGAGCAACAATTCAAATATACACACAGTTCATTCGGTGCCATCTATTGAATCAGCAAGTATACTTTCTTTGCATTCAGTCTTCCCATATGCTATATTATGCTTTGAATATTTATTTGTAGAAAGGGAAGGTAAAAGCAAAATATGGGAAGTAAAATATTGAGCAAAGATAGAATAAGGGGAATTGTCATTTTTTCAATCTAAAATCCTGAAATTTCCCTATAAGAGAATATCACGAGAGTTTATCAAATTTGTGTCGAAAACTACCGATTTCAAATAATCAATTATGACAATGTAACTAGAAGGAAACAGATATAACTCTTCCTTTCTATCTATAAAGAAAATTGAAGAAAAGGAACAAATGAACTTGGTGCAGACGCCACAGTTGTTAGAAAAGGCAGGATCATCATCGATTAGCTCCACTTTTGTGCAGGGACCACGACCTGCAGCTGCAGTAGCACCTATCATGCAGACTGACTGCAGTACGACATCAGCATACGATTCCACACTTTGCATGACAAATGTTACTTCAATGAGTTACTCTGCTCCAATGCCTCAACCAAAGACAACGGTTTCATTTTCTTTAGCTTTGGACTTTTCATTTTCTTTTAGTTTTGGACAAAATAATGCATGCATAGAATATAGAGCAACTTGTATACGGAAATCAGGTGTGAGTTTAACAGATAGCTATAAATTTGCACTTAGGACGATAATAAGTTTAATCGAAATGGATCGACTGATTCGAATCAAATTAGAATAGTATTGTCAATAGCTGTGCTATCGGCTTCCTTTAAATGACGATTTTTCCTAGATTAGTTTTTAAAAGAATTATTACTTTCAGTTTCTGTGCATTTCGACATGTACAAAAAAGGAAAATAGTGCTGGTAATGAAGAAGAGTATAATAGCAGTGTGAATGAGGTAATGGACCCCCAGACATTCACTATTGGTATGTTTCTAAGCTGCTTATTTGTAGCATAGCCTTTTATGGGTTTGCTCAATTACTGTCATCACTTCCTTTTAAATGATTTCAAATCATTATCCTTCAAGTAAAATCCAGGAAGTACTGACCCTGTCCGCCTGGAAAAACGTTATATGCGAGAACAGTTCAAGACAGAAGGCGTTGGTGCGCAGCTGCCACCTCTGGATCCTACAGATCCCATCAACTGTATAGACGCCCATTATTGGCTTAATAAATCGTAATTTCACGACCGCTCGCCGATTGTTGCTTGTGAATGATTGTGAAAGAGTGATGCTGGTTCCGGTATTTTTTTTCCGTTCCGTGTCTCACACAGCTCATTGAAATCTTATTATACACATCCGTTGCCTAATTGCGGTATTACTTTTTTATTTTACTGAGATCATTTTAAGGTGGTAAATATATTTTGGATAGTATATTTTGCAATTTTCTTTTATTACCGCGTATGCAACTGATCGGACCAGAAATACTGCGTTTATTACGTATTCAGTGAGAGCAGATAATTTATTTTTTGGAAAAGCAATAAAGAATACTATAAAGAACAGCTTGCACTTCCTTTTTTTTCCTACTTTCTTATTTAATCTTACCTATTATGTCGAATACGACCTTTTTTCGATTTGTCTTCTGATACATTCTCTTCAACTTTTGCATTACTTTCCTACTGTGATATATCTTTCGCTATACCATGTGATTCCTTTCTGTACACTCAGCTTTGTCCCGTGAAATGTGCTTTGCATAATTACATAAAACTATTAGTTGTACAAGCTAAATAGGTGATATGTCAGTGGGCCTCGTTAGTAGCTTAGCATTCCACAAGGGTTACGAGTGCTGACGAATCGAAATAAATACCTTGTTTATGCTTCTGTACTATAAATCGTGCAAATGGGATGGTTATGACTAATCCTAATGCTAAAAATATACGAAGGGTTTTTAATGGAAAGGAGATCACTCAACAACATATATTTCAATCAAAACAACTAGTAACAAATGAAAAAAAAATATAAAGTGGATGAAATGCAAATAGGCCTCTAGGTCATCCCACCCACCTTTAGATTATAAAAAAATATCAACAAATTATTTAGCAGCTTGTCTTCGTAATAAAGTATAAATTTGTTCCTTGATCCAATCTTTATTATGTGGTGCATAGGCTTTCAATGTATTTTCCCATACTAAACAGGACAAATCGGCTAAGCGATCGATGAATTCATACAAGACCTGCACATCGTAAGTGATGGATGCCGAATTTGGGTTTAATTTCTTCAAATGTTCCTCAAAAATTTTACATATCCCTGAAACGGTAAAGTAAAGCTTCCCCTTGAACAACACATTAATTGAAATTGAGATATAAATTCGATAAATTTAACATGGCTAAAAGTTATATGTTCGACAGTTACTTCCTATCAATACCGAAAAATATGTTCAATTAAACACATATCCACTTGAAGATACATAATAGAAAAATAATCAGCAATAAAGGAAAAGGGTATAATCTTGCAATTAGTACTGATCATTTAATATCAAATAAATCTCCGACGAAGCACATACCTTCCATACATTCGGTAGTTGTTTCGTAGTCGGACCACGTACGTGACTCTACACGCGCAACAGGTTGAATCAATAGAATCGTGTGTGATGATAACACTTCCATTTGAGTTCTCCTACAATATATTCATATACAAATATTATATAGATGTAGTATATCATCCAGACATCTTATATAGAGTAACTTGCGATTGCAATATCGTTGCACACTTATTGCTATGAGTACAATACAGAAAAAGATTCACAGTCCTTTACATTACCCTAAGCCACGAGTTCAACCAAATCGATCCCTACAAAAAAAAAACAAACCTCAAGATTGTCAGTTTGGCCGTAGAAACCCTCAAGTACCCGTCACGAAAACGGACATCCCGTTGCAGTGATTTTCAGGTATACGTGAGAACGATGGGGCTTTAGAATTGTGGATGTAACAGTGTACTAGCGTGGGTTCCATTCTTCTATTTGGTCAGATCAACCATTCTGCAAAGGGACAAGAAAATTGCAAGAAATAGAAATAAAAAAAAGATCAAATTCAGTAGAAGCTAAATTAGCTTAATTGTTACCATAACATACTACAATTACCCTAATTAGATTAGGCTGATAGTTGAGAGTGAAATGAGCCAAAGATGGATATTTGTATACAAATCATTAATTATACTTTTATGAAATAATCATTAAATCGATCGACTCGTTAATTATTCTATTTCTGATTAATTATTCTGCTCCAGATTTTGGATTATTTCTATGCCTATTTTAATCACAAATCTATTATGAAAACTTTTTCTCTCTCTCTCTCTTTTTGTGGAATTGTTAGTCAAAAAGAGATAGAAAGAATATAATCAATTACAAAAAGAAAAATCTTTAGTAGAGAGGAGAGAATGAGGGGATTATAGAAATTATAGAGGAGATAAGGGAGGCAAGAAAGATTGAGTTGTAGCGAATTTTAGGTCAAATAACAAACAGCAACGATAATAATAATAATAATAACAGCTGCAAGTCATTTGCGATGATTTTCATTCTTTCAATATCATTTCGAGCAACATTAATTCTGAAACTATTTTGCCTCACAACAAATCATTCCTTTCTTTTTAGTGAATTTAATTAAAATTTTTGATGAATTCATTATTTGAAATCATTTAATTTAATATAAATTATGAGAATTTTCTTTTTTCTTCAAAATCTTAATAATTATTTAATTTATCTTTTATCTTTTTCTTATTCAAAATTGTTATCTTCCATTTATCACTTTACTATTTATCAAATTGAATTCCGATAGGAATAAATGATAATGGGATCATCACAGCGATGCTGTGTGTAATGCATGAAAATTCGAATGATTTCTATTGATGAAAACATTTAACACATTGTTTTTACTTTCCTATTTTTAAAATTTCTTCCTTTCTCTCTTTTTTTAAAATTGATTTCACTCTTTTCATGCATCTTTTCCTCTTACATTTATTCATTTAATTAGATATATTAGTAATTTTTTAATTAATGCAATTTTTATGCATGTCGAAAGTAATGTTAAATTATAAAACCGTATTAAAATTGATATTAAAGTGTTTATATTTAAAATTTTAGTCATATTGAGATTTGACCAGTCATGTTGGAGGTTATGTATGTTTTTATGTATATGTCATTTGCTTTGCATTTCATTTTAAGGTTGAGGATTTGAGAATGTTAAACTTTCAATTATTCTGCTTCGGATACAGCAACTGCTGCTCATCGACAGTTGTTTAGATTTTTTTAAAGAAGAAATATCTTTATTCTTTTATATAGTAGTAAGAAAGTGAAATGTTAAATGTATATAGTATGTGTACTATGGAAAAAAGTATGATATGAGGTTACAGTATATTATTCCAGAATAAACTGGAATCAGTTGAATAAATCTGTAACTGTATCGTTTATATGGTAGCATCTTTGAGATTGAATTATGAATTTCCTAAACTTTTCATAGATTCGAGATGATCCGATATGGTTGATATTAAAATAGCTAATCGGGATGCCACATCAATAACTAACTATCAATTGAAAATAAATAATTTAATACTGATAAATTTTCACTTATTCTGGTGTAAAATGAAAATCTAATTAAGTCTCTTATCAGTAGTGACTACTTAATAATTAGTGATAGGCTATCATCATTGTAACCAAAACAGTCTAAGAGCATTTATTGTTTCAACTACTGCTATTTATTAGATAAGGAAACTTTTTGCTGAATTTCTTTTTATTAAAACAATATTTTATTACAGCATTACTTTACTCTTTCCTATAGCTATTATTAACACTTATTGCTATTATCAAATCTTACATTTTGCTTTATTCAAATATAACATAACTATCTTTTCACTTGATATCATTTAGCTATTTATTATTAATAGTTAGATAAGAATCTAATCATTGGCAAAATGATTCTAATCTAAGTTTGCTCGAATATTATTAAGTTATATGTATTACTATTCTTCATCATAATTTAGTCTAATGCAACATTTCCAATAAATTGTCATATCTCTTCAGAACAATGATGCTATCACTAGTATTTTGTATTGGTTTATTGTCTTTTTCGATTGTTCGAACAACAACTGGATGTGATATCATTGTACGTGTAAAATCACTTACTGATACACCATTTCAAGCAGAAATTATTGCTCCAAATGGTAAAAGCGAGAAGTTGGTTTTATCTTTTTTGTTAATATTTGAATTTCTTTTTAACCAAATAATATGTTATTAGCGATATCAAAAAATCGTATCTTTTCCCTGATAATGTATAATTTCCATTTCTGAATAGAATATTTAAACTTGTCTAGCTTGGAAAACAAAATATTCCACAATTCCATCTAGGATAATGGTTGCTATGATGGATATTTATTTATGCCTCTCAAATGGATGATAGAGAATTCATGCATTCAAATAGAACGTACTTCATGGTTTCATTCAATTTAATTTTTAAACATTTCATTAGCATAGCACTAAATCAATGGTATTTCAGGAAGCTTTTAAAAAAAACCGAGCGGTTAGTCTTCCAAGAGAAAGCTAAAGAATGTGGCTTAGGACCCTTTGAAATAAAAACAACCTCAGAAGGAAGTGCTAATAAGAGAGAGAAAAATGTGAAGGTAATCCTATCGTTTTTATATAAGTCTGACATAATATGACATTTTTTATATTGTAAATTGCAATGAAGGGGTTTAATTTCAATCTAATTAATAACAATATCTATTTCAATAATAAATGATCAAAACAAAATGATTCCAAGTTTTATGCTTTTTATCTAATTATTTGTATTGAAATAGTGTATCAATATAACGTCTATTATTGTTAGCTAGATCTATAAGTCAGTCATTCAGGTAACACTAAATGGCGTCGGTGCAGTAAACTATGAAGTTGGAGATGATCTAATACCGAAGCAAATATTTCGACAAGGAATCGAATGTAGTGGACAATGTGCTCCATTAGGCGTTGCTCAACTACATAAAGCAAGTGAAGCTACAAAAGTATGAAGAAATATTTACGTCACATTTTATATTTGTTACACATTTATAACATACATTAAAATAAAAATAACAAAAATGATAATAATAAAAAAAAGAAAAGTCGATAAATAAATTCTATGATTTTTGCTTGAAAACTTAATTAAGATTTGCTATATGAAATCATTTTATTGAAATAATTAACGAGTGTTTTTTTTATTCTTAATAAACTGTATGTAATTAGGCCTGCAAACTTTTTTTTAGCAAGGTGATATATAATCGGCGGTAACAATTATCATTAAAGGTATTTTGAAAGAGAAAAGTTGAAATTCAAATATTGAGCAATGTTTTAGGACAATACAAATAATGACAAAGATGATAATAGCATTGCATTGAGCATAATTATCTAAAATAAAACTTCAAAAATGTGATGACACCTTCAATTATTCATCAAATTAAATATCAATCATAGCTTAAGTTTGTAATGCTACACATTAAAGTTTAAATAATACAAGTGAACAATGATAAATATATTTTTTTTCGCATTAGCATTAATGAAATTAAGTTTAATAATGTAATCTAATATACACAAGTAGATGATGATACTAATAAGAGGATAAATAAATTATCATTAATTAGAGAAGGGGGAAAGTGAAAGAGATGAAATGGTGAAGAGCTTCGAAATTGATGTAAATTTTAATTAAATGATAAAGTCATATTATGAAAATTAAATAGGCACAAAATTAGCGAATTTTTTTGTACTGCAAAAACATACACATTGAAATGATTTAAAATAGCACCTGCTTTCATCGATCAATGCATATGAGAAATAAATAAATTTTGGGAAAATATATGAAGTCTTCCATGAAGAAGTATTACAAGCCGTTAGCGAATAGTTCAGAAAAAAATTGCAAAATATAATACCAGAAATTCAATTTATAACTGAAATAGTAAAAGGTATACGAAAAATTAAGTGTCTTCTTTCCCACCTCTCCGTATTGCTGCAAATAAGGTGATAATAATTGACAGAGCAATAAAGCAATATAATTCGACGATTTTAGTGACAGTGATAAGTTGTAGCAGCAATGTTATCTATTATCATATGATTCATATTTCCCTTGGAATGGGATAATTTTCTGAAACGAAAATGTAAAGCCTTTGCAGCAAGAATTAAATGAAAAGTTGATGATTTAGCAAAATATACCTCTCATCCAAATGACACTTACTCTCTCTATCATCCTGTTACTGATAAAAGATAAAAGATAAATTTGCAATGAAAAGAAAGTATTGTCGAAACAATAATATTGAGCTAATTTTTGTTGATAAATGAATAAATCAAAAGTTCTCATGTGCAGAATCCTTTATAAAAAGTTGACTTATAAAGTATTTTTTTTGCCTACTTCTCCTATCAATATAAAGAGTGATAAAAATGATTAAAGCAACAAACCAATTAACATCCTCCTCCTTTTGCTATCAATGATGGAATAAAATATAGCGATGACAATGCTAGCAATAATCATCAAACATGCAATGATTACAAATATGATTAACCACGGAGACCAGGCCATTTCCTTTTTACAGCTGAACAAATTCAAATAGCCGTAGGCTAAAATGCTACTACTTTCATTCTTTAAATTTTATTTAAACTTCATCCAATTACTTCCTATCTGATCTGGTCAGCCAACAAATTACAAAAAAAAAGAGTTATAATCACAAGAGTTAGCAATTATTTTAGTTGCACTAATTTATCTATCTTCTCCTATCAATATATATTTATAAAAAAATAAATAATAATAATAATGATAATAGCAATAATAATAGTGATAACAACAATAAGTTACAATATTAATGATAGCAATAATATTAATAATATTGATAAAAATAGTGATAATAATAACAATAATAAAAATAATGCTGAAGCATAAGTATTATTAATAATATGATGAAATAGAAAATATTATAAACGAGGCAGGAAGAAATTATTTGTTGAATGTAAAAAAGATGGAATAGGTTTTGAATAAGGAATAGTTTACAGTCCAAATAGAAGGAATGAAACAGTCATATATCTTTCCTTTCTCTCTTTCTATTTTCATTTTTCATTCAAACCGCTACAAACACTATAAATGATCACATAACTTTCTTCTTCCATGAATAATCAAACAACAAACATCAATGAATGAAATAATCTTCTCTAACATAAAATTTCTATCTAACGATTTTTTGAGATGGAAAGTTTGGGTGTGAAATGAAAATAGAAAAGACATATCCCAACAAGTAATACTTTTTCCAACGTATACTCTCTCTCTCTCATTTTTTTCTCTTCTCTTTTCATTCCTTCCATTGAAATGCCTCCATCGATGGAATAACGATTTGAATGAAATGATGAATTGACAAATATGAATTGTGTCAAAAAATGAAATTGAACTATTCCAGCCATTCCCATTTCTTAAATTGGCAATATTTGATAAAATATTCTTTTCATTCTTTCTCCGACACCTTAATATAATGATTATCTTATGCAATTCCAATTAATTATTCATCACTTTCAGTTTTTCCGAATATTTTTTTCCCGGAAAATATGTAAGTAATATTTTTTAAGTAGCAATTGTATAAACGATATAAGCAATGAAATACTAATTTTAAACGATCAGCGTTATCAGACGTTATTATCAGTTCATTTGATTGGAAAGATTATGTGTTGCAAAAGTATCTTGTGATATGTTACGCAAACATTGACAACATTTTTATTTTTAGAATAATATATTACATTTAGTGTTATTAATAAAAATTTAGATTGAATTATCATAATTCTTTAATTTATCGATTTTTCTAATATCATACATCAAACATTGAAAGTATTGTAAATTTGCAACATATTTACTATCCTTTTGTTTCTCTTTTTCTAATGATATACCTTTTTTTTTCATTAAATTTATTAAATTTCCGATTTTTTTGAAATTCCAAAATTTTAAGTTTTTCTTTACTAAAAAACTTTCGCCTTAAATTTTATAAAGAAATTTTCTTTCAAAATTAACAGTTTAATTGCTTTTATTTCTTAATTTTTTGTAAGTTTTATAACATATCATTATGATTTCTTGAAATATAAAATGAAATTTTAGAAGATCGCACATAATATTCCGAAAAATTGTGAATAAAATTAACAAAAGGTTCTCATTTCACACTTTTTCAAACATTTATAAAATTATAATACAATGATGGAAGTTGACATTGGCCATTGGAGCATTTGTACGCCTTTGATGATTTCTCAAAACTTTATTAAACTTCATTAAATAAAAGCTCAAAAATTATTAAATTAGTTCTTTTTAAATATCTAAATTTTTGTAATTTTCCCATATTTCCCAGCTAATTGTTTTTGAGATATTTCAGTCGACACTGATGAAATTACAGCTTAATTTTCACTGTCATTATCATTAATTGCAATAACATTAATTATGCATGAATGATAGGTGAATTACAAATCAGACAAGCATTATGTTAAATTTCATTACTATAATTAGGGAATAAATTAATTAGGGGTAATCATATTAATAATTCTACTTTTTGATCAGTTAACTAACAGATTAAATCATGCCCACACTAATTAATCAACGTGGATAATATAGATTACTTGGTCATTTAACACAAATCATCTATTATCATGCAATCATTCATATTATTCACTGTCATATCATGTAGGCTAAATTATTCATTATTATGTTGTCATATCCATACTGAATCATACTTTATTATATATCATCACATCCATATAGAATTATTGATTACCATATCATCACACATTATTCATTATCATATTACTAAACTTCACTGGTTAGTATTTGCATCACAATGATAGAATGTTGAAACACATGATGTAGAATGTTGAAAATATCTGCATCATATGTATATGCAGATATTTTCAACATTATATCACCGTTTGATGCAGATACTAGTCAATGAATTTAGTATCTGCATCATCTGATAATATGATTTTGAAAAACATCATGTGAATCCCTTTCTGTAATATAAGGATGTTTGTTAAAAAAACAAACATTTAAATTTTATCGAAGGAATTTTTTTATTTTTTATAGAAACGAATTTGATTGATTTGAATCGATGAAATCTTCATGAAGTACGTCTTGGCCATCAGTTTAATTAAGATTGATTCATTGAATCGGTACACAAACAAATTTTTGATTCACTGAAGAGACCATATAATTTTGTCGACATGCATTTCGTGGATATAAACACGGTTGAAGATTACAAAATTCCATGTCACTTATAGTCCTTAACAATTAATTAATTATCACATTCTTTTTTTTAATTTTGATTTCATATGAATATAAGAAATCAAATTATTTATTATTAACCAAACAATACAGAGAAATATTATTTCAATTTACTTGAAAATTTCAATAATTGTAATGCAGATTAGGTTAGTGAAATAAAAAAGACATAACTATATGAAATCCAAGAAAGTGAAACATAAATAATTAGAATTTTTGGAAATTTAAATTACTACTTGTTAGTGATGCAACTGAAGTCCGGATACGGTTAACTATAACAGTTTCTTGAGGGAAATTAATGATACCGAAACTATGCAACCATTTAAATACTTTAATTTAATTAGTCGACTAAGTCGTAAATACGAAGAAAACTTAGATTCAGATATAATAAAAGTAATTAATAAATTAGAAAACAAATGAAACATATATGTTTATGATAAATTATATATTAACATATGACTGTTATATTAATTAGAGGTTATAATTAACCAGCCATATTTTTAATAATTTATTCTAGTTAGTTTGGAATTTTATAACAACGACAAGCAGCTTATAATAATAACGACAAGCAATAACAATCAAATTGTCCGTCCATTTTTTTGCGTCAAAAATTGTGACAAATAAATATATCAGGTGATTGTTAGAAATTTCTTATCGTTTCAGAAAATTAAACGAAAAATAAAGATTAAAGGAAAAAATACCCATTACAAAAGCAATCCTCATAAGTTTGTTGACAACCACGAAAACGTTGTCGACTTCCATAAGCGCCACATGTATCTGTACAAGTTGACCAAGATTCCCATGCTGCCCATTGCGCTTGACATCTTAATAATCTTGTTGGCATCGACACCTGTAAAAGAATTTGAAGATTGCATGGGAATAATTAAAAATTACAATTTAATGAATTCAAAATTTTCAATTATTTTTTGTATGTTCCTTGTTTTTATTCGCTATCATTGTTCCAATTGTTTCAGCACATTATTTACGCTGCTGTATCATGTAAATATTATAAAGACAATATAATTTATTTTGCTATATTATACAAGTCATCTTGGATGATATTGCAATGCTTTGAAATATATTTTAATAAAACTTTTTTACCAATGAAATAAAATGTCTGTGCAGTAAATATTTATTGAAAGCTTACGGATGGATGCCAAATATTGTATGGAAGAGAAAATTGAAATTCAATTTAAATTAAGAATGAAGAGAGCTATAAAGCTCTTAAACTAGCCTTAAGCATCAAATTCAATTTTTTTTCTTAATAATTTAAAATTTATGCTTAAATTGAGTCTAGGATTATGGAATAAGTCTAGAAAGAAGATGGAAAATCAATCTGTTTTTTCCCATCCGTGGATAAGTCTAAATTGGCTCTATAGCTACAAATTAGTTTTCATTGAATTACTTTCTAAAATGCAAAACATACAAATGGCGATATTGTCATTTCTGGTGAAAATAATCGTGATACCGGCAATACATCTAAAATAATTTACTTATAAAGTGATGAAAAGCTAAAATTGCTAATGCCACAGCACTATTAGTATAAAAAACTTAAAAATCAATCTGAAATAATTAGCACGACCTTATTTAAATATAATGGTTATAAATATCTTTAACTTTATTGTATCCTAACACTAATCATTCATTTACCTATTACGATGCAAGAAACGCTTGCAACATTAGTTGCTGATTGAAATGCTCGCCATCGTAAGTCATTTCCACATATCAATTGTATTTGTGCTCGACCAGTAATATCCGATATAAATAGTGAATTAATATCACCATTGAAATATATTCTTGCAGCAGTTCCTCTCTATTTATCAAAATTTTCAAATTTTCTTCCAAAGCAAAATAATTATTTAAAGTAAAAGTTCAAAAAAATATACAAACGTTATAAAAAATTGATACAAAACAAAAAATTAGATTAATTAAAATTCAACGAAAAAGATATTTAAAATATTTAAACCTTAACGCTACCACAAATAATATTTGCCGTACGACAACCATCAGCTTGTTTTGAATATTCAATCGTTAATGGACCATTAATTTCATTTGGGTTCAATCTTAGTGCCGCCGTTTTAAGATTTTCGCATGCGGCACAAAGTGGTGGTACTGAAATTTTTTGATTACGTTAAATTAGAATGAAAATAAAATTTTGAAAATTTCATGTTTACATACCTTTGTCAAGAAACAAAAATTATTAACATATGTAGAAATATGTACGTATTCTATAAGTAATATGTTAATCATGTGCGACTTCTCTTTCATTTAGCTTCGGCTAAAAATAATTCCAATTATTTTCTTTTACCTGCTGATGTTGTTGGTATAATCATTGGCATGATCATTGTTGTACGTGGCATGATCATTGTTGTACGTGGCATAATCATTGCTGTAATAATATCTAAAACTTGTGAAATTTTTATCAAATTTCGAAATAACCCACTTCTGCATTCCTTTCAAAATTAAATATTCAACAAAAGCATGTATGTACAATAATAAGCATATTAATGATTATTATCAATATAAACATTGGTGCAAATGATTGATAATAAGAGGAAAAGAACCTCGTGAAAGACAAGTAACACTTTCAACGTTAACAGGGAAACCTTCAACTTTAAAACGTAGATTATCACCACAGACCAATGAAATCACTGCAGAGCCAATTACATTTGAAGCAACTGGTGAATTTTTCATCTCGTTGAAATAGATTAAAACTTCCTCGTATGCCTAGTAAATGATTATTCATCTGATAAACGTATAAATCAAAATATATGCAATGGTATTATCATATTTTGAATTAATATAATTACGAATTATTCATAAGCTTTTATAATATTATTATTGTAAAAAATTGAAAATTTTTACATATTAGTAAGTGTTTGATGAAATAAAATTATTATTCATCCTTTTATTTATTATCTTTCTTTTTTTAAATACCAAAAATATATTCTTGAAATCACAGTTAAGATCAAAAGCGTACTTCTCAGATTTGTGAGATAGATTGAAGGTTTGCTTGCTTCATATGTATATCATTTTGGTTTGCATGTATATGAATTCCAAGTTTTGGGTAAAGTTATTGATAGTTCTATATACACAGTTAAAGCATCTTATAATCAAAGAAATTGGTTGAAGTCTAAAAGTTTGATGCGAAGTGATCTGATTTACTTACATTACTGGTATTACAAAAAATGGTAGCAACCCGGCAGCCAAATTCGTTATATGTGTATTGAATGATAAGCCTTCCATCACTTTCAGTTAATGCAGCATTTTTTACTCTTTCAGATCTGATATTTGCGCATGTACTGCATGGTCCTGTAAACATGATAAAAATTAAATTTTGAATAATTAAAATGTGATGTAATCATGCGAAATATCGTGTAATTTGAATATCGGACAAGAAATTATGTTCTAAATGATTTGAACTTTATTTTGCATCTGAAATTATTTGATTAAAATTAAAAATATTAAAAATTTAGGATAAAATATACTCCGTGTTGTAAGTGGTGGTAACAGCGTCGTTGGTGTTGCATGATCTGTAAACAGTTATGGAATTATATTGCTAGAGATGTTTTTTAAAAAATCGAAAAATGCTTAAAGCATTGATTTGATCTCGAATGTCATTGTTTTAATCAGGGATGTTACATCCATTTGAAACAATTTCATAGTTGAACATGAAATGTTCAACTGATATGAAATTATGAAATTGTTTCAAATAGGAATTACTAATGACTCATATTTGTTTCGTTTTAAAAAACAGAATTGAGTAATGTATAACATCTATTAATTTGCTCCTTAATTGCTTATTGTTGCAAGATTTATCACCGAATAATCGTTAATTATATTTTCAAAATTTAAAATTCCATTTTGAAAGAACTTTATTGATGATATTATTCATCTACTATGTATAATTTTAACATATTTAGCTTAAATAATTTAATTAACATTAAAAAGTGAAGCAAATAAATTGAATTTTGCAATAAAACCAGAAGAACCTCCAAGTAGGCATGTTACATTCGAAATATATATCCTTGAATTTGGTGCTATCCATCGGATATTTTCATTACAAGTTAAGGTAATTTGAACCATTCCGATTGGTGACAATACAAATGGACTGCTTTTCATTCCATTTGCATAAATTATTGCTGTTTGACTGGTCTAAAATAATATCACTGACAGATTCTACATGATATGATTTTCGAATATCTTCTCGAATAAGGCATAACTTCAGCTGCTACATTCAGTGTCATTTGCTCAATAAAAATTGTTTAAAAAGGAAATCGATATCTTCAATTTAATGATAATAACTGATATTTTAACTTGTCGATAAATTTTGCCTTTGTAATTTTCATATTTTATGCTCTCATTGAAGTTTTCCATATTTTAGTAGCACATTAGAATATGAGAACACAAAATATTGATTATAAAATTAGGTGGTTTCACTTGTTAATTATTGCAATAGTTTTATTTTATAATAGATTGCAAATAAGTAAATAGTATAAAATTAGATTAAAATCTGAAATAATTTGGATAGAAGGTATACCAATGGACCGGCATCACAAATGAGATTAGCAATACGACAACCAAAAATATCTGTTCCATAAACGATCGTCAACTGACCATTTCTTTCTCCATAAGCAAAAGGTTCAGCTCCTATTGCTGTTATATTACCACAGGTTCTGCATAATCCTGCTAAAATTTTATTAGAAATTATGATGAAATAAAGAAATGTTGGATGCCTTATAAAATAAGCAAGCAATAATAAGGAAATATTGAATTAAGGCTGTAATTTCACGATAACATGCAGTATTTTGTCATTAAAACTTACAAAGTGAAAATAGAAAATTTGATAATAAATTTTGACAACAAGATTTGACGTCCTTGAAATTTTGGTTTCTTTTTGCAAAATCGTAAATAGAAACTGCGAAAATGAATTTTCATCAACGATTTTTTACTATTCATAAGGTATATTTCATATTTGTAAAAGATTTCGATCTAACTGCTCCATTCAATTCTCTTTATTTATAATTTGATAAAAAACAAATTGTTATATATCATTTATTTCATCTGTCACAATTGTTACTGCTATAAATTAAACATTTAAAAGAAAAAAAATTCATGCAGTTATTTCAAGCAAATCACTGTTGCAAACAAAATATTGAAAGTAAGAACGAAAGAATTTAGGAGTCCAGTTCCCGCATATTACCAAAATTTTGCCGTTTTGATCGTGTCTTGTTGACCTGAAGGATGAATCGGTCATTCAGATTCTTTGATACGTATTGATGTTGAAATTGTGAATCTGAATGAAAAGTGAAAGAAATAGCATCCTATCATTTTATAAATCATTGTACTCCTTTATTCTATTTAATTTGCTTCTGATAAATTAGATATAATTAATTAATTATTTTTTAGCTCAATAAATGACCTATTTATTCACTATTCTTTAGCTTGGTGAATAATAGTCAATAATTCTGTTCTATTTGATCTGTTTCTGATAAATTTGATAGACTAGTTAATTGTTCTTTAGCTATTGAATTAATAAGTGATCTATTTACTTATTGTTTGTTTTATTCTGTTTTTTATTCGAATAAATTATTATTTTTATTTTTGTTTATTTTATTTGGTTAATTATTCCTTAGCGTAGTAAATTAATAAATTATTTTTTTTATTCTATTCTATTTGATTGCTTCTGATATGTTTGACACACTGATTATTTATTCTTTAGCTTAATGAATTAATAAATAATCTATAATAATAGATTATATCATTTATCAATTAGCAAAGATTCGTTTCCAAGCAAATTCACGTCATATTCAGGTTTGATCGTCTAATTTCCATAATTAGTTGCAATAAATTTTTAAAATTTATCATTTTTGTTTTCTCAATTTTCCCGATATTTACATATTTTAAGTTTTGGTCACTTCTGAGTAACCTACTTCATAAGGTCAAGTGGAATAGGATAGTGAAAAAGTGGCACAACGAATGTACGATCACCTTGCATGCTGCACTCCCATTGCATGCACGCATGCCTATTACTAACCCGTTGTGGTCTTGATTGTTGTTGTTGATGGTGCCATAGGACGGGTTACCATGCTACTTGTAGGGGTAGCAGTCTTGATAGTAACGGTCGCACTTTTGGTAGCAGGTATAGTAGTTGGTGGTACCATAGGACGAGTTACCATGCTACTTGTAGGGATAGCAGTCTTGACAGTAACATCAGCACTTTTGGTAGAAGGTGTGGTAGTTGGTGGTACCATAGGAAGAGTTACCATGCTACTTGTAGGGATAGCAGTCTTGACAGTAACATCAGCACTTTTGGTAGAAGGTGTGGTAGTTGGTGGTACCATAAGACGGGTTGCCATGCTACTTGTAAGAGTAGCAGTTTTGACAGTAACGGTCGCACTTTTGATAGCAGGTGTGGCACATGGAGTGGTAGGAAGCGCGGAAATAGATTTAGCAGCTGCAGTGGTAGGCACAGGAGTTGCGGCAGTGGATATGGTAGCTGCAGTTGTAGGTACGTGAGCTACGGGACTAGGTATGGTTGAAATAATAGGTACATCACAACGACTAAGTGAAGAAGGCGTGGTAGTTCTGGTAGCAAGTGTAACATTATCCGAAACAGGCAAACAGGCAACTGCTGTAATTCCAGTAGCAAATATTGTAGCTGCAGCGAATTTTGTAGCAATTGCGGTCGTAGTTATAGCAGTTACAGTAGTTACGAGAGTATGCGTAGTAGCTGCAGTGGTAGATGCTACGGTAGACGCTGTAATTCTAGTAGCAAATGTCACTGCACATCCTATTATTAAGATATTCAGTACAGCAGCTGCAGTACTTCTTGTAGGCAGTGCAGCAACGATCATAGTAGCGAGCATGACAATCTTAGTAATAGGATGTGCAATAATTGCTGGTACAACAACTGTAGTTTTCACTGTACCAATGGTCGCTTGGACCGCTATTGTTGATTCTGATAATAAAGAAATTCTGATAAGTTTATTAAAAACTGATACTTTACTTAAGTATAGTTAAATAGTAAAAAGATAAGAACTTACCAAATATCACTGTATCCTGAAAATAAATTTTCATTAAAATTTTAGCTATTAACAAACCATCGCATGAATGTTTGAATTAGAAACCAAAAGAATTTTAATTGAGAGTAGAGGTACCCACAATTTATTTATTTTCATTTCAAACATCTCTGATTATCGTAATGTATCAATTTGTATAGAAATAAGACTATATGCTACAAATGATTTTATCAATTTCTTCGTCAAATTACTGATCACAAATTATATCGATTAAAAAAATTTATAATTATCCGTCAAATTACTGATTGCAAATTATATCGATTAATAAAATTTAAGGAAGTCAACTTACATTAGGACAGTAAAACGAGAAATTTTCGAAAGTTCCACAAGGTCTTATTTCTGCATTAAAAGCACTAAAAGCATATTATCATTTCCAGTTTACTGACGATAACATTTGTTTATTATCTTACCACGAACTCAATATTCGATCAAAAATTTATTATTATATTTTCATTAATATTTTTCTCCTTAGCTGTTCTTCCACAAAGCATTCACAATTGCAAAATGATTAAAATGAAAAAAATGAAGATAAAATTCACTTGCACGAATATTTTGTCTTCGCAGTACAATTTGGTGGATTTTTTCGGCAAAACCTAAAATTATTGCCATTTCAAACTATTAACGATCTTTAATAGTATGAAATTCTCTTTCGCATTTTGACACCCAATTTATGTTAATTTATCGTAGTGAATTTAAAGCAAATAACATTTCCAGGGTACGATGGTGCAAGTAAGAGGTATGAGCTAATAGAGTACGAGCAGTTTTTTTTCATATTTTCTTAGCATCACTTATTTCATTAATTTTGAACAAATTTCAACAACAGCTTCGTCTGCTTTAATCTTCAGTAAATTTAATACTAGTGCTTATTATTTGCTCACCTTCTTCGTAACTGGAAATATATTCCATAGTGATCATTTGGCACCGTATTTGTATTTCGCCATGATGACCAACTGCTCCAAATTCCTATCTTGCTACATTTAATTACATTTTCACTATAGGTTGAAATGTAAAAGTGTATTGTAATCAGGATCGTTAACCAAGTATGCATTTGTACTGAAATTAGGTGTTCTTAAAAATTTTTAGCAAAAATTTCACGGAAATAAAGCTATTTTGAAAGCTCTTCCGATATGGATACTTTAAAAAAAGGAATAGTAAAATGCAAAGAACATCTTATAAATATAATTTTATCACCACTATTTCAAATAAAAGTAGATTATTCGCAGAACTGTATGATAACTGTAAACAAAATTGACTTATCAATGCTCTATTAAATTCCTAAATCGCAAAACTTTGTTTAAATTAAGATTTACTTAAAATATCGTATACCAGTAATACTTCTATTAAATAATTTAAAACTTGGATGTCAAGACGATATTCCTATTAGGTACTCTTGATAGAGTAAATGTAAGCCTAAAATATGCATATTATTATATTTCAAAAGAAATAAAAGCAGCTTTTGCTTTTTCTTACAATATTCGAAAACAGAAAATCTAATTATTATCAATTCTATAAAAATGTCTACCTTTTAAATTGAAAAAGGTTGAATAAAACTCTTTAACTAAGTAATATCATTTTTAAGTTGATATTAAACGACTCCTTTAATAGCACTGAAAAACTTTTTATTAAATTTGAATTGAAGGTTGAAGTTATTTATTTTTTTGAGAAGTTGTACTTTATAGCACCGTACAACTATTTTTCTTTTCGATTATTAAATTTAGATTTCTTTCTTAATATTTCCCTATTGGTTGCTTAGATATTTGTATAATATTTCAAATATTCAATATAATTATTAAACCGAATTAGTCAGAAAGTGTTGAAATAAGAATATAATACATATATGGGATGAAATATCTTTAAAAAGGTGCCAATACGCATTAGTTAATGCAAGTTATGTTAAATCAAAGCCTAAATCATTGTTTGTCTTTTCCAGAACAGCTAACTGAATCCGGTTACTGATATAAAGCAGTCCAATGCTAGAAACTTTCATTTTTTTCTTATGTATAAAAAGTACAGGCATTTTCAACTGCTTAAGTTGTATTTTCTCTTGTTCTTATTTAGCCTTTAATAAAGAAAAATTATGTTAATATAATTTAAATGTTAATTTTATCAGTTATTGCGGTCTTTCTCCTATTTCTGAGAAGATTACATTATCATTTATCGGAGTGAATTGAAGTGATCAGTTGCAGAAATCAATTTGATGATGAAAATTTTAATTTCATCAAATATATACAAAAAATTTTAATTCATTGACGAAAAAAAAGAGTTAAAAAGACATAAAAAGCATAATAATGCAGAAATTGTTACTAAAATTTTATTCAAATAAGGACAAAACTCAAGCAAACGTTATTTAATCTGATAGAAAAAAACTTGTTTATTCAAGTTGACAACAACAATAAAAGTTAATATTTAAGGATTGTAATAAATTCATTCTCACATTGATAAATTACTTTAGAAAGTTTGTAATTAGTGGAATTGATAGATCATTGTGAATTCAATATGCTCAAAATAGATTGAATGATTTAAGACTGGATTTGTTTCTTTTGTAGAAAATTTTCACCATTCACTAACTGATACTTTAATGTATTATAGTAGTGGTAGTAAGATAGAATGGAATTGAAATTGAAATTAGAATGTATCGTTGTGTTAAATGAAGTGAATATAGTTATATTGAAGATTAATTAATGTAGAGATAATTATGACGAGAAGTAATTAAATTTTACTATACTTTTGTTCGCAATTTGTTTATTCTATTTGTTTATTTGCTTATTTCAAAAATTTGATATATAATTCATTTTTAATAATGTTTTAAAATTATGTATTAAATATCACGGGTTGTTTTTCTTTCCAGCATTCTTTGAACATTACTATATTATTGCATTTCGACTTCAATTAAACCAAATAATTGCAAAATTTCATTTGCATGCATAAAATCAAATTCAAAATTTCACAATATTCTTTCATTCTTTACTCATAACATCAAATTTTTTAAAATATATATAGATACAATTGTTTTTATTTACATTTGCATGTAACCAAGTCTTCATCGATCATATAATTTCGTACCATAAATGCAAATTCATCATAATCGAGAACACCATCACCATCAACATCTGCTTCCGCAAATATTTCATCAACTACCGCCTTGTCGCGAATATCACCCAACTCTCTGAGAATGTATTGGAAATCTTTCTTAGACACTATGCCATCTTCACCCTGCAATAATTCGGAATGTAATTAAAAGTATCCCGATAACCAGTTATGTTTTATATACATCCAGCCATCCCATATTTCAACATTAGTATTGCTCAACTTTTGATAAATTATAAAAACTTACAGCTAAAATAAGCGGATCATTTTAGGAAATAACTGATAGATCGATGATAAGAAGATAAATAAGGCATAAAAATGAAAGTATTAGTTTAATTTAATTGATGTTGTCTTAATTGATTGATAATTTGATAATATGAAAGCATTATAATAAATTATAAAAATCACTCGTTATTAATATTTTCATTAGAATGATTTGATATGCTTTGTTTACTTTCTTGATTTAACGATTTTAAAGAATGCTGTAGATGATTATTATTAAATGAAAAATGATTTTTTTCTCTTGTTTACCTTTACTTTCATCTATTAGATGATCAAATAGCCTAATTCACTATAAATGACAGTCATCTAGCATCGATGAACTGAAGGAAATGTGCTTCAATGCTATTCGCTGTATTCAATGCAATGCAATGTTGCCATCTACATCTTATTAAATTTCTACTAAACCACTAATTCAACAAACATTCCCAAATTATTCTCTCAGATCAATCAGTAAAGAACAAACAAGTGATAAAAACTCCATTGTTGATAATTTCTGATAATTACCTTATAAGGTCAAAAAGAATAAAATTTTCCAGACTGTGCCATCTCTTCTTCGAAAAAATTAAAAATTACAACATTTGGTAAATCAAACATTTATTATGTTTGCTTTATTTGTTGAATAAAATCTTTACATTGCGTTTATTATGTTTTGTTTATCCACAAAATAAGGCCTTTTATGACAAGTTTATTGCGTTTGTTGTAAAATAAGGCCTTTTATGACAAGTTTATTGCGTTTGTTGTAAAATAAAGCCTTTTATGACAAGTTTATTGCGTTTGTTGTTAAATAAGGCCTTTAACTTCAATTTATTTTTCAATCACTTTATTACTATTACTTTTATTACTTACTCTATCGAAAATCGAGAAGCATTCTCGTGTCACATCGTTCCAGCTATTTTGTTTGTCACTCATTCGTTTCATTACATCACAAAATTCATGAAAATCAATTTCATGATTACCCATCTGTAATACATTACTTAGGCTTATGAACTTTTATAAATAATCAGGATTTATTGTAATCAATTTTCATTGAAGAAAATTTTTGATATCTTCGTTTGAAAAATGAGGAGAGCATAGATGGCAGATGATGCATTGGAATAATTTAATCATACCTGATCCACTTCCTCAATTATTTGCTCAAGCTCATCTTTCTGTGGTTCTAAACCTAAATTTCGCATTGCATTTTCCAGCTCATCTATACCGATTGCACCGCTACCATCTGAAATTGATATTAAAATATTGCATTTCATAATAATACAATGCTTTCATTGTGAAAAACTTTTAAATTATCCAATCATTCAAGAAAAGAATTATAAAACATTTTCAAATTTCATATATTTTTTTAAAATATTAATAATTTTAAAGGCTATGAACAGATAACAACCAGTATCAAACATATTGAACACTTGACGATATTCTTCTAACTCTTCTTGTGAATATCCAGCAAGTTTCGCTTTCAATAATGAAGCATTTGGACCGGTATTTTGACGTTGGTTAAAATCATGATGAAATTTATGCTATAATTTAATTATGAAAAGTTTGAACTTTCATTTATTTACCTTTAATTTTTCAAATCTTACCTAAAATTATAGAAATTAAAAAAAATACTAATCGATAGTCTACATTTAAAACGTTAAATGTTTATTCATCTGATTCTACAACATTTCCACTTATGCTATAAACATTTGTCATTATTCCTATCAGTATATACCTTAACAATATCTGATAATTGATTTATCATAATTCAAAAGCAAAAATATTATGACGAAAATATGAGCAACGTTTCATTTTGCATCTTTTCTATCTCGCAATTTAAATATACTACTTTTTGATAATTATTCATATCGTTGCATATTATATGTATATGTTAACTAATTATCATATCAAAAGGCTGTCAGATTATTTAAATCTAAAATAACTATTAAAATACCTTAATAGCTTCAGCAATTATTGATGCTCGACTGCTTGGTGGATTTGATAAAAGAGCTCTCTGCCGTCCCGAGAATCTCTTATTGCCATTACGCGGTGTCACGTTCGCCATAATTTTATTATTTTTCTCTTTTTTTCTTCTAAATATAGTTCGTAGATAACAGTAATTTTATGTAATAATACAATCAGTAATTCCATGTAGTGCAGTAATAATTCAATTAATAATTTCATGCAATGATTTAATTAATAATAGTTTTACATAGTCAATTGTTTAATAATTTCAATCAAAATTTTTTCATTTAAAGCTTAAAAAGTAGTTTCACTAGCGGCTCAACTAATAATTTCACTTAAAACTTAAAATGTGACGACTCAATTAATAATTTTTTCACGTGACGACTCAATTAATAATTTTTTCACGTGACGACTCAATTAATAATTTCACGTAATGGTTTAATAAATAAATTCACGTAACATTTATATTCATTGTTTTTGGTATCGCAAATTGAAAAATGACACACAAGAAGCGAAAAAAGGATAGAGGAAAAAAGCAAATAAAATTGCAAAGATTATTTCATGTTAGCAAATCGAAAAAGTTAGGTTTAATAAAGAAAGGGAGAAAGAGAGAAAGAGAGAAAAGGGAGACGGAAAGCGTAAATTTTATTGATAGCCTAGTGATGAAAGCAAAGAAGTTTAACAACAATGTCATCCGTGAAATCTATACATTTAAAAATCGTGAGTTTTAAACGCTTATAAAAATAAAACTAACTACAACAATAGCAACAACAACAACGACAACAACAACACTAACAACAATCACAACAACAAATAAAACAACAAATAAAAGAAACAGCAAGTAAGGTAAATTTGGGCTAATCGAAACTGTTAGTTTCATATTTACATATAATTAACCATTTTAAAGATATCATTCTAAATAATTTTAGAATTGTTGAGCAGTAAATGAATTAGAACCATTTTAGGCTTTTATAATTAATAATTTAATTTAATTTCTATATATATAACTTACTATTCTAAAACTATTATCCTGAATAATTTGAAGAAATATTTAATTTTGATTAAAAATAGCTTTGCTTAGCCTTTATGCCTTTTTAATATGAGAAAAAAGGCATACGATAGGCAGAAATTAGGTTAGCAATACTGATAATAACAAATCTATAGTTATTACCTGGGCAACCAAATGCTTGCATTTCAATTATACAAACCTTTTCCATATTAATCAGTGAGAATGTTAGAATGTAATTTCATAAATATTATTGCAAAAATTCATCAGCTCAAAAAAATTCCTATAATGGATTTTTTAATATTTAATAATTAATTATAATTCCTAAATAGAATTTTGTTTGATGTCAAAATCTTATCAGTTTATTTATGAGTAACAATGATTTAATTACAAGCAAATATTACCATTTATGAATTTGCTTGAAGAAAAGCTAAAAAAAATGTTGCAGAATTGTTAACAGGCTGATAAAATTGACAAATCTAAAGCAATTTAATTTTATTAGGCCATGAGCCTTTACAATTGCTATTATGAATTAATGAGCTCAAAAACAAAACGAAAAGAGCGTAACTTTCTGATATTGCTAGAAAAAGATAAACATAAACAAAACGTGAAAAGGATGGAAAACATTTATATGGATGAAATTAATTTGAAATCTAAAGTGACCTTCTTATCATATTTAAATATGACACCCATTAGCTAACATTATAATTTGCATGAAAATGATGAAGCAATGAAGCTTCGAGACTTATGTAAATTTTCAATTTTGTAGACAATGACAATAATGGAAAATTTGACTTTGTTTTAGCAGATCTATGTGATATTTAAATGTCGCTTATACAAGATAATATTAAAAAATTTGCATGAAAATGATAAAACAATAAGATTTTGAAATTCATGCAACTTGAATTTCCAATTTTATAGATAATAACATAGTAGAGGTCCAGCAAGATATAAGAAAATGACCAATGAATAGTAAACTGTGTAAAATACAATTATCTATTTCTCTGTGTGATGACATGATCCTTTTTTTCTTGGTTAATTAATAAAAACTACTTATTTATAATTTGTTTCCAAATTTGAATATCCTAGTAACTATTATGGACTAAATCATACTTCATGCTAACTTTGAATAGTATATGAAGTAAAAAGAGATACAAAAATTGTCCAATAAAACTGAAATACATCTGAAATCTGAAATACAATTTCAACACAGCTCAACCATCCAAAAATAGCCTTTTCACGCTAAAAAAACTTCAGTGTCCAATTTCGAATTCATTGAAGTAGCTGTATAAGTGTCTAATTGACACAAAATAACTTCTAAGTTTAAAAATGAAAGAAAAATTCAGAAAGCAATAGAAAATTTAATATATTTTGGATTCCATCATTTAAGAAATCTTTAGGTTGAGCTTAAAATTGAAAAGTGCTTTATGGATAGTTTTAAATTTTTTCCGAAAATTTAAAAGCATTCCGGACTACGTTACGTATCAATTTTTCGTGTATCTTTACTTATACCATTCACGGTAAAATATGCTATCCGTATAGACAAAAGCTGAAATTCGCCGTTCCTTGTATCATAAGCGTTCAGCGTTTAAAATGCTATGAAAAGATGCCATTTCTATCGTATGAAACACTTTAACACAACAGAAACGTACGCTTGAAAAATATATAAAAACCAAATAAAATAAAAACTAAGATCATTGTCATCATCCCGCACTATACAAAATTATCTTTAAATGTCATTAGGAAAAGTTTCGCAGCCTTTGATAAATGTTCATGCTTAACTGACATCTTATCAGAAGATCAGAATCTTCTAAGCAATCTAACGTGAAATAATTAGATTTTCTAAGCAAAAAAAATCAATTCTTTGCAGATATTTAGTTTTCTAATTGTAAAATAAATGACTTCCTACTACCCCAATTTTTATCATAAAATGAATTCTGCCCACTTCTTTTTGTAAACGATAACAAACCAATTTCAGATACATATTTTTTTTCATCATTATCGTACGCGATTTCCTTAAAATTCGATTTAGCAAGATCAAAAGGAATAGTTCATTCATTTGCTTATACATACAGGATTGCATTGCGTATATTTTAAATGCAAATTTGCTCAATCAAATTTCGTATACTTAATATTTCTATTCACATCCCCTTCCGTCACTTAAATGACACTTCCGTTTGCCAATGTATAATAAATACATTTATTGTCACTGTTTTGTGTGAGAATGGTATTTGATCTTCAAGTAGGACTGAAATTAATTTCAAATGAATCAAATAAACAAAAAGACCAAGAACGGAAAAATTCGCTAATTGAAATCGTTACAGGATGAATCCCTATTTTAATAAATCGGATCTCATTTCATTTTCAGTTAGATTTTGTACATTCAAAAAAATCACTCCGCAATAAAACACTTTGAAATATGCCATATTGAGCACATATTGAGCATGATTTTCATCATCATCGTACGCGATTTCCTTAAAATTCGATTTAGCAAGATCAAAAGGAATAGTTCATTCATTTCTTATACATACAGGAACATTCATTTCTGACCGCCACCCGGTAAGTGATCCATCATCTCATGGGATTCCGTCATTAATTTGATTGCGTCGGATTTTGATATTTTATTATCGAACAGCAATTAAAAATATCAGTACCACTACTTACTCACACAGTTTTTCATTCTCGGCAAACCGTCCGCGAAATCATGATAGAAACTTTGAAGAAGAGAATTTTCGACTCTGAAGAACAGTACACAATATAAAGACTATCGCAATGATTAATAGAACACTGCATTATTGAGATTAGGAAGAAAGGATCTAGGAAATGTATATATAAACTTCCTTAAAAAAAAAACTTTGCTACCAATCCCAACATGACAGCTAAATTAAAAAGGAGAATGAATGAGCTATATACAACATATATATTTCATGACAAAACGTGACGATAAATGAGCGAAGCCAAAGTAGTCTACTCGATTATTAGATATGAGTCAAATAAAGGATTCACAATGACATGCACAAAATCGTCATCGCTTATTTAAAGATCAAATTTTACACGATTTAATTCCAATTACACAGAATGGTTTCTGATAAAATATGTTCTTCCACAATACTTGTGATAATCAACTGACGATGAACGTGATAAAGCATTACAAATAGCATCCTCGAATCTGAAATATAACATGATTCAATTGATAAAAATGAGACTAATAAAAGGCAAAAATTTACGAAATAGCATGAGGAGACATTTTTAATACAAAATAAAAAATGCAAAATGGAACTAAATGGTTGAAAACCAAATTCTACCGTTTCATAGCTAAGAGAACTAACGCGGAAAATCCGGGGTGTATTAAACAACCACGAAATCCATCGATATGATATAAATCGTTCATTATGGCTCTGATATCACCATTAAAAGTATCATGGAAAATGAAGCCATTCTCAGTTTCAGTCCAGTTAATTAAATAATCCTGTTTGGTTGAAATTAACAGCTTGCGTCGTCTCAAATTCAGGCTTCGTAAATTTTCAATATTAACCTAAAAAACATCTCTATGATTTCCCGAACAAATTCATATTTGTCTGCAAAATTCACTGTATTATTTTTGATCAGGAGCAAACTTGGTTTTGAAACCTATTACAGTACCAAGGCTTTTCGCAGAAATAACGTTTGTTGGTTTTTCTGCCATCAATTCAATAATTTCCAAGCAGAAGGCATATAATGCTTTTTAATAATTTCCTCCATATTTAAATGGCTCATATGTCCTTCAAAACTAAAGCCGAAAACAATCACAAAATGAATTTTGTAATGATTTCATGAATCTCGTGCCCTTCCTTAAGAAGCAATACCTTATTCCCATGAAGTCTGAGAAAACGTAAATTTGGCAAATCGTCATCGCCCAGATTACTCCAAATCTCATCTTTATAACAATCCCCGAGATGGCTTAGATCCAAAAAAACTAAGTTCCTGGAACAAAAGTGCTAACTTTAGGTATAAGAACGAGTATTGGAAAGAACAGAAATATGAATTGAAGCTTATTCTTTGAACGTCAAAAGAACTCTCGAAAAAAATAGAAAATGAATATAACAGCAACAGTTAAACATTCTATGGACCAAAATTTAGAAAAAATTATTTACTTGAAGTTCTTGACAACAGAAGACATAATATCATTATCCAACATTGCATATTCACTGTATGGTATACCAAGTGTTTTCAAATTTGGACAGCTGCAATGAGCTATATCGCAATACTGTTCCTCTCATCTCATTATGTTCAAAATACAAATTATTTGCTATGATAAATTATTCTACGGAACATGATTCTGCGTGATGATTCGCTTACGTCCAGATACATTCTTCACGGAAAATTAACTTACTTCCGGTCAATGGCTTCGAAAAGATCGCAAGTGCTTCCATAGTAATTTGCAATTATTAAATGCTGCAGTTTGAATGGGAATGATTTTTCGGGGTTCTTCTCTGGCAGAGTGAATAAATCAATCAATCCCATATGTGTAATGTTACAGTCCTGGCCACCGAAAAATACCCTAAGCTCCTCCAAATTGTACAAGTTCTGCAATTTTAAGTAGTGTGAAATCCAAACAGTATTTCATTTCATAATGTCCGTTGTAAAATCTATCGTTAGAACGTTAACAACTAAATGTATTAAGATATTTCACACTAAAATATATAAAAATATTGAATAATTTGTTTATTCAAAAAATTTTTAGATTCAATTAAATCCACAATGCATATTTTTTAATGTTTTATTATATAAATGTATAAATTCCGAAAATATGACACTAGCGCTGCCCGTATTATGCGATTAGACCGCCATTAATGAATTATCAGGAGTTCTAGTCAAATTTCGAAGACATCCTAGATTCTTCTCAATTTGTGTCGACTAAGTAATTCGAACTTCAACCTTTACAAAGGTTTAGCACGATAAATCGATAGTTTTAGTGTATATATTTTCGGAGATTTTTCTTGCCTTTATATGCGCAAAGTGTTCATCGAAGGCATAAAGACTCATATTCAATGAGAAAACCTTCAAATTATGTAAATGGCCAATATATTCAGTGTCGTCGTTTTCAATAGATCCAAGAAAAAGTTCGGTAAGAGTTGACCACCATGAAGAAGTTCTAATCCCGGAGAAACTGAAAAGCAGTGATATTAACAAATATATCCGCAGTAGTACCGAAGTTCGCAATAGCCATGTCTAATGAAACGAACTCAAAACTGAGATTTTAAAGCGATATCACAAGAATGTTTCAAAAAATGATCGAACTCGAATAGTGTACGCTGAAGGGACTTCACAAGAAAACACACATACTTCATACGATCTGCTCCGTTATAAATATGTAATAAATTCAGCGGACGTTTGCACGCTGGCAATTTTGGGCCATAGTCACTTACATCACCAATAAAGAAATTCTGCACTTTCGAAAAAATGCTTTCATCTTCAAATAATATTTTCAACGTTTTTTCCCATTCGTCTACACCACCGTTGCGGCTTGAACTCTAAAAAACGCAATTTACAAATCGTAAACTAAAACCATTTTTGATGGTGGTGTCTAAACTATAATGTTAAACAATGGAAAATCAAGCATTCAAAATGAGCAGCGACTATTAATAATAACCAGAAAAATAATAAATAAAACTAATAAATACGAAAATAATAAAACTTGTTCAAGTGGTGAAATGCTTGACAGTAATGACAATAGAACCATCGAATTTGCAACCCAATTTCGTAAAAAGACACTTTATAAAATTTATAATACAAATCATACTCGTTCCAATCCCTCCATGTGCAAAGTTTTAACATTAGGGAAGCAATGTGATAATCTTTCCAACAATGTAGTGTTAATTTCTGCAAAAAATCGTGGTTTAAATGAAAAATATTTAAATTGCAAGAGTTTTAATTCTCACCAAAATCTTTTAATTTAAATTCCTTCTTTTTATTCTAGCTAAACATAGTGATTTCAATCTGAACCTTTAAAAGATCCAATATCGAGATGGATCACGTTAGGAAAACAAATGTCGAATAATGCGTTAACGCGAGTAGACGGTAAGGGCACAGAACAATCAATGCACAGTTT